TGTTGACACTAAATAAGCTACCATGAGCTGAGCCATAGTAATGTTGCTCTTCCTTCGGGCCGAAAGAGATAATAACAATTTCTCACAAGTGTTGTAACTCTTGGTCCGCTTGAAACATGTCTATGGTAGCTATTGTTTTTGCATATATTTTCTTAAACTTCATTACTGTCACACATATGAACAGTGAATTTAAACATTACTGACATTTTTGCAATGGTGAGCTTTGAGAAACATGCTGTTCCTCAACTTTTGAAGGGCAGTGTATATCAAACAATTAGTTTTTTCTTTTCATATTACAAACAAATAATGGTCATTCCGCTTCTCTGGAAATGTATGACTCTCAACTTTTAATTTTTCTCTTCTTTGATGAAACCGTCTTAATTAGTGTTTGATTGCAAATTCACGTATACATGAAAGTAAACCTCAGACTGATATAGCGCGGAACCTGACAGCTACATACATCAGGAATAAATATGATCAAACTGATAGCAACAGAAGACTCAGACGATCAACAAAGCCACCGACCACTGGTAAATGACAGCAGTTAAGGTGTAATGCTTATGCAAACAAAACAAAAATGGGAAAAGAATAAGAAAAATTAAAAATTGGTAAAAAATATAAAAATAAGAATTTTTATAAAATTATTCATTACAACTACGAGAGTTTTTTCTTCAAATTTAAAAAGCTAATGATTTATATTCAATTATATTTAAGATTCGGCCGAGGACCATGTGTTACGCATGCTTAATCTAAGTGTTAGCAGTCAGTCTCATAGGAACGTTCAGTTGTATACGAAACATAAAACATGGATTTCATTTCAGAAATTCTTGATTAGGAATCCTGTAGATTAAATTATTCTTATAATTTAGGTGTGTATGTGTGTGTATTTAATTATGGCAAAGCACACTAGGGCTATCTGCCTAAGGGGAGGGATGCCTTCGTGGAGGACTTTCTAAGGGAAACTGACTCGTATACACGTTACACGTGGAAAACCCACGAAAACACCCATGCAACCAGCCCGTTCGCGGGATTCGCACCTCGGACCGAACTACCAATGTTCAGTGACTTTACCGCTCGGCCGCTGGTGGGCTCTTATAATTTAGGAAGAAAAACAGTAATAAATTTCCTTCTCAGTCTGATATCTTAACAGACTTTCAGTGTTTTGTTTATTTTAATTTTACCTATTTTTGGAAACATCTTTTCAAAACATTGAAGAAAATATTAACTTCTTAAACGTATGTACATACAGACATAGAAGATATGAATAACAAACAAATACTTTTACTTAATTCTAAAATTTATCATCTCCCAAATATTGAATGTTATGCCTAAACATACCAGAAAACAAACACAATGAGCTCAAGCTTGGCTGAGAAGCTCTAAAACATCTGTTGAAACAAAATACATCTCTCTGACTTCCGCTATTCGATGTAAACCCTACTTTTTTTATATATATTTTTCCCTCCGAAATTTCTAAATCAGATATTTCAATTACCGAATCGATCGTAAGGCTCAGCTTAGAGCGCAGTTCTCTTCATATTTTCTTTCGCCGAACTCAAACTTGTTGCCAAGAACAGTAAAGAAATTTGGAACAGCAGACGATAAAGAATGTTACTGTGTTTATTTTTGAGGTTAAGTTAAAAGTAGTGCAAGTTTTTGTGTGTTCAAAGAATTGCTCTGCTCAATAAAGTGTAGCAATTGGCTTGTCTGCAAAGTCAAGAGACCTGAAATATCGGATGGAGAATTTTTTCAGTTACCTTTGTGATTTCTCTTACTTCTTCTTCTAGCGGAACTTCAAAGACTCTTGGAATGCAAAAGTAAAAAAAGAAGTGTTTTTTTACCGTTCCTAGGAAAAAACTCCATATAATGCCTTTTGTTCAATCAAATAGCCTTATCAAAAAAAGGAAACATTTCAATAGAACTCAGTTAAATTTTAGCTTATGTTTTAAAAAAAAATTGTTATTTAAATTAATCCATAATTACTAGTTAAAAACTAAAATGGTGTATAGAATTTAAATTTTTAAATTTTAGCAAAATAAATTTGTTTCGTATTACCCGCGTTTTAGTATATATTTTCTATAATTTTATATGATGAACTTACCTGATTTTGCAGTAATTATTTTCATATGCTAATCTAAAGGAAAAATATTCATTAACATATTTTTTTTAATTTTGCTATTATTAATTCAAAATTAAAAAAAATTAAACGCGTTACTATTTTTTTAATTTTGTATATTTTAACCAAATCTATTATTTAAATGCATGTGTATTCCACCTACTATTCTTATTTTATGTTATTCTTATGGAAATAAAAATAACACTCAGTTTTTTAATTGTAATTTTAATTCCTTTAAAGTTTGTATTTTGAAGCTTTTAATTTAAAGAAGAATTTGTTCTATACTACAAGAAGTAAAGTAGAATCTGTACTTACTGTTTTTGCCTCTTTTAATTTGACTAATAAATTTATCTTTCAATAATGCTAAGAAGCATTATATATGTATCTGTTACTTACCCATTGTTTAAGAATTATTAATGAATATTATTTAACGAACATTTATTTAAATGCATTAATAACACTCCTTCAATCCACTAACTTTAGGTACAAAACATTAATGTTCTATTAACAATAAACATTTTCTGTTAAGGGAGTCGGAACTCCCTATACCGACTATGTTAAATTCACCATTTTCGATGTATCTTTTCTCAAAATCTGACACAGATACATGTTTAAAATTTTTTTGTAATTAAAGTACGCGTTTCTAATTATACTGAAACGAGCTTTTGAAAAATTGTGAGTTTTGGAGTAATCTATAGAATATTGTATTAGGCATAATAAAATTTAGGACATTTTTCACACACACACACACAAAAAAAAAAAAAAAAAAAAAAGTAAAAATATTTTCTTCGTTTATCACAAAAAGCTCATTTCAGTAAACATTAGGAAGAGTAATAAATAAATTCAAAAATATTTAAACGTCTGTGAGCAGTAGTTCCTTAGGAAACGTACATCGAATATAAAATCACATTTGGAGAAAAATTCATTTTTACATAAAAATACGCATTTATCAAAACATTCGCTGAAAAATTAATAGTAGATCTTTTTTACAGTTCTAATTTTCATAGAGATTAAAGTATGGTATTTTTATAAAGATAAAAGTGTAGAGAATTTGAAATTATAATAATTCCAAATCATTATTTTTTTAAACCTTTTGGCTTCCAGCACCCTTTTTAATTAAGAAACTGATGGCAAAAAACATCAGATGACTAAAACGTTTTAAACGATGAAACATGTGCTTCTTTCATGCATTCTTCAAAGCGTTTCATAAAACTAAACAATGAAACTGTTACTTATTTCTGAAAGCACTACTGCGTTTCAGAATTTTTGGTATTAAATTAGACTGAAGAATAACGTATTACACAGTCATTCCTGCATATATATACTGTTTATTTAAATAACATTATTAATTTATTTTATAATGCCCGTATTTATAAGTGCTCACATACATATTTTGTGCCTTGAATTATCATAGAAAAACTATATTCAATATAATATCTCACATTTTCTGAGAGAGATTTTGTAGTCTGTAAACCTTCACTAAATTCAATTTTTAATTCTGTCTGGCTGTTGGACTATTGGAAATCTAAGAACAATAGAATTTAATGTATGACTTTATTAAAAATTTTGCATAAGCTAACACAAACTTCTTCTGCATCTAGTTGCGAATAGTTTCAACTAATGAATACAATGTAATTTCATCGAAATCGCACAGAAACATTAATATCCAAAATATTCGATACTCCTTTAAAAACTACTTTTTTATTACCTACTTACGTATGCACATATGAAACGAATATTTTCCTTGCATTCCTTATCTAAATGTTAGTAGTCTCACAAAAATATCTAAACCCATATATTCTGGCTGCATAAAACTCGTAAATTTTAAAATACCTACAAATATGCAGATAGTTAATATGAATATGTAAATAATTAATATGAATTCATATGTATGTAAATATGCAGACAATTAATATGAATACGCAAACAGTTAATATGAATTGATAGGTATATGAATGTGTAAATATATTTACATGAATATTCAAATAGCTAATATTAATTCATGCAAACAGTTAATATAAATAACCTATTCATGGAATTAGTTTCTTCTAGTACATACAATAAAATTTCATAAGTATCAAACGAAAACAATAATATCAAAAATATTCTATACACCTTTTAAAAAAACTATTGTATTATTACCTATTTATGCATATACATACCTTCGTATATACGTATATACGAAGCACAAATTATCCTTGTAATTCTTTATCTAAATGCTAGTAGTGTCAGAGAAACTTCCAAACCCATACGACTCATAAAACATGTACATTTTATGAAATTTAACGAAGTATCAAACGAAACAATCAAACAGTTTAAGTATCAAGTGAATTTAATATAAAAAATATTCTATACATCTTTTAAAAAACTATTGTAATAATCTTCAGTGCTTTATGATATTTTCAGTATCCAGATTTTTTAATCATTGAATGATATAAGATGAAAAAGAACATTATTGCATTACAATAATGTGATTTTTATACTGAAAGTAAAAATTGTAATTTATGTTTTTAATAGAAAACGATAAAACAGATGTTTCATCGTTTTCTATTAAAAAGTTATTTTTTAAAAAGGTAAATTTAATGTTAAAAAGTTATTTTTAATAGAAAACGATTAGTTATCTAAGAATAAACTGAATACTTGAAGAGCACATTTTAAGGAAACGTATATGATGAATGTCAAAAAACAGCCTCAAATTAATTACGATATTTTTCAGGTTATCGAGTCATAATAATATTTCAGCAAATCAGGCTACCAAATACTCTTCCGTAATTTTCACATAATGTGCGCTATAATACAAAAAAGCTCATAAACGCTATGTATTTTGAACGAAAAGAAAAGGATGCGATATATGATAGCTCACCTAAAAAAATACATCACATACTTATAATCTGCAATTTATTTATTTATCAGTATTCTGAGTTGATGGATTTACAAGTAAATGTCTGAATAACAACAATCGTGTATTAGGCTAATTGCACCTAATTTTTAAAAGATATATTTTTACTTATTATCTTTTACAATGTAGGTATTTTATGATGGCATAGGAACACTATTGAATAAATAACGATCTCTGTTTTCCTTGATGCAATTGGCGAAACATGAGAAATGGGATTCTCTGCACTTCATGAAAACCACTCTACTCTCGCCCTGACGTAAGCATTCCATGAGTAGAAACATGCATCTGTCAGTAAAGCAGCCTAAATAAATAGTAAAAGATTTGTAAAATGAAAGATGTATTATATTTGTGCATTTCTCTTTTTATTGAAATTAAGCAATTTGGTACTATTCGGTTTCGAGGGCCGTGAAAAATCGCCAAACTATTGTTGATGTCAATGCTGCCAAAAATAATTGCGGCAACCCTAATAATTGCGGCAAGAAAGGAAGTATAATAGTAAATAACTATCTAAGATTGATGTTTTAATTTAGATGAAAGGTTAGTTTCATATAATACTTTTTTATTATTATAATTTATATAAAAAAAGGATAAACATGACTGAATGGAAGCATAAGAGTAAATAACTATTTCAGATCATCATTATAATTTATATAAAAAAATTGCTAAACATAACTGAGTGGACCCTGCATCGCTATTTTCGCTACCGACTTATCGCTAAAGCATTAATTTCATCTCGTTGGTTGTTCAATACGTATTTTTTTATAATGAATGATGCCTTTTCTTTGAAAATATTCTCGGTAAAGTGCAGAATCGCTCACTTATTTGTTTGCCGCTTTTTACAAGGGTAAAAACAATTGAATTTTTGTCAATTGTCTTTTACTTTTTAAGTGAAAATAGGTCGATGTGTACATAGATAAAGTCAAGGGTGTGCGCAGTGCCATTTTTGTGCAATTCTAGGATTTTTTTTAAGTGAAAATAGGTCGATGTTGACATGGATACCGAGTATGTGCAATTCTTAAAAACACGTCAAGCAGTGGGTGATTCTGCACTTTACACAAAATTCTATTGCCGAATTTTCTTCATGGGCAATTCCCAAATTGTTAAATCCATAGGATATCAAAAAAGAATTTAAAATCAAAAAAGGATTTAAAAATTAAACTAGTATATCAATGGAGTCTTGAGAAATATAGAACTATATAAACTTACGCAATCTGCGTACGCTAGATTTGGCGCTTTTGCGCATACATTTTCTCTGCAATTTTTTTACGGCCCTCAAAACCGAATAGCACCAGCAATTTAAATCTATTTTAAGGAGCTTGATCTTCGTAAGCCATTTTAATAACTATAAAAGGAATACTTTTTGAAAAAAACTGAAACGCTGTAATAAGATCATTGTATTCTTAGGTATTTTATATAACCATAACCTAAGCATTTGAAGCAAATTACAAAAATCTGCATAAGAGTACAAATCTGAAACACAAATTTTTAGTAGGTTCTGTCATTTTACATGTTCAAATGTACTTGGTATGTTTTGCTTCGAGAGTTTTCAAGCCATACTTTAACATAACATGAGAATAAAATACAGTCTGAAATTCGATTTCATATAAACTGCAAACATTTGACATAGATAAGATTACTAAAGTATGCATTTCGTGTAAACTGTGTGGCGGTCTCAGTGTTAACTCGGTTTATTTCTTGCTGTTGTCTGGAGGTATCTATTAACTGCGATGTAAAGTGAGTTTTTACCTAGCCCAAGTATTCCAGAAAGTGGTAAATGACAAGACGATCGAATTCGAGTCCTTTCCATAGAAAGCATACATCGTACCGCCACGCAAAAGCGCATTTCCCATTTGTCTGGCTGATATTTTATTTTTTCCCTGGTAGAAGCTCATGATTGCCTCATAGGATCCCTACACACACACACCCCTGCTAACATTTATAATACAGTATAAGCAACTGCGACCGCGTACTGAGCATCGTTGCGATCTTTGTGCGTTAATGTTGTTGGTTGCTGCATTAATGGGTTGCGGGCCTCAGTGCCAAAGGTGTGCTTAATTGAAATCTTTGTTGTACTGTGCTATAGAATTTAAACGTTGATTGGCAGTCTTCCCATGTTAACAAATGTACAATAACACACATTTCTGCCCACAAGGTCACCAATGTCCATTATGTCCGAGTTACTAATGTAGCGCTCCCGAGTTAACTCGTTTTAGGTATTGTGGTCCTATTTCTTAGCTCCAACATTAAGGGCGATGCAATATTAAGTATTCTCGAAGGCGGTAAATAACTTTGGGTATCGCACTTGGGTACATTGCATAGAAATCGGACAACGTAAGGTCAGGCAAAAACTCATTTCCCTGTCTCTCAGATATTTAAATTTCTTTGGTGTTTCTGATTGTTCCATGGGGCCACTACACTATAAATTTTAACATTTTAAAATATTAACTGTAACTACTTAACAGGTCTACAGAGCTACAATATGAAAATCTTACAGCTTTATTTGCAAAGAAAAAACAGTCGTTTTTCATTTTCAGGATATGAAAAATATGTTCATTACAACAAAAAAACAAAAACAAAAAAATATTAGCATTTTAAAACGATACATATTAGATAAATTGATAAAACTAACTTTTTGTTGATCAATTTTTGGTTTCTGTTGGTTGCTGTATGTAGCGTCACCTTGAATTAAACAAGGTTTAAACTGTGTCTTGTAAAATAGCCATCTTGTTTGCATAAAGCCGCGTCTAAAATTCATCGCGAGCTGCTGTAAGACTATCATAATCCATCATGCTTTAATTGGCTACATTTGGCAATAGGCCACACACTGATTACGTGGGCTAATTCGAGAAATCCAGACCGCCGAGAAAGTAGTGACATATTGTGAATCCAAAAAAGCTCGCATTGTTGTTACAGCAAGAGCATTGGTATTGTCCGAATTGAAAATTACCTGAATGACGTTATAAATGCAGTAGGGTCAGTAATCGTAGAATAGCAGTGACATGGTGACTTGTAATCGTATTAGAAGTGATCTCATGCTAAACCTCATGCTAAACCAATATTTGCCAGGTCAAATGGATCATAAATGTCACGGTATAATAAAGGCCTAAAGCGATAGGGAAAACTCCACTCTAGTCCTATCTAAACTGGAATGAAACAAAGTAATATTAAGTTTTTATGTCACTTTTTTAAAATGTTGATTTTCTTCATTAATGAATATTGGACTGACAGAACAAAATAATTTTTAAATCTACACATTGTAACTATTTTCTTTTTCTTTAATGAATATTTAAATTTCATTCATATTCTACTCAGCAATATGAAAGCGTTACACAAACAACGATATCCAAAATTTTCTGTTATTTATTTGTGGTTTCCTTTCGCTTTGAAAATAATGTTTCCAGAAATTCAGCTTCCAGTTTAGTTCTGTATATGTATGTTCTTCATTAATTAGTTTACAGGGGAAATACGAAATTTCGAATAAGAAAATTGATATATAAAGATTAATCTTAATTTATTGGTAACAAGAACATTTGTGATCTTTGCATTAAGTTTAAGCGGCTGGATGAATGACTAATTAAGTACGAAAATTTTATTGATTCATTTATCTTAACTTGAAAATTAATAAAAATTTCGAATAAAAAATTTCATTTGAAAAGACTAGTCTTAATTTATTGACAAAAAAAAATTTGTTATTTAGGCATTAAATTTATGTGGCTAGATAACTATAAAAATAATAACTATAAAAACCAGACTTGAAAATTATATCATCATATAATAAATTATCTATTGGTAACACAAAAATGAGAGTTCTAAAAAACAGAGAACCAAAATGCCAAACTCTTAGTGGGAAACACAAACTCCAGTTGTTACTTTAAATTATAATGCTGCATTTGTTTACATACTCGAGATAAATGGTATGTCAATAGTTCTATGGCTAACTTATAGTTCTAATAACTTATAGTAAATGCTGAACTCAGTGTGATAAATAAGAAAGTTTTTTAATGTCTAAAGCAGTTTAATTCCTATCTTTTCTAAAAGATGGCAGCACCAAATAGGTCTTAAAACCGCAATACTTGACACCGAAAAATGTTTAACTTGCCTTCTATTTTGTTTGTGGGTGAAACTTCTTGGTTTAGCTTCAAAATGTCAGCTGCAGCTGAAAAGAAAGAGTGAAGTGTTAATTGCGGTATAGAGAATGTTTCAAACGTATGTCACATGCAAATAACATTTAAACCAAGCGTCATAAATATGATATTCTCATATAAATATCATCAGTAAGATCAGACTACAACAATGTTTGTAATATGACACCATTTAGGCAGTGCAGGATTTACGTATAAGCTACATAAGCTATAGCTTAGGACCCCGCTTTCTACATAAGCTATAGCTTAGGACCCCGCTTTCTTGGGCCCCGTAAAAAACCCTCTAGATATCCAGAAATCATATTTGGTACCGACATATAATATCTGGACTTATAAAGGGTCCCGTATCTCAAATAGCTTAGAGCCTTATCAAGTCTAAACCCGACCCTGCTTTTAGGTATACAAGAGATATGTGAAATTTAATTTCTTACATGAGCCTTGCTGTAAGAGTATCAGAGAAAAAAATGTGTTTTCTTGAGAGGAATTAGTAAAATAAAAACGTTCCATCTTAGTACAATCAAAATTACCCTACATGAACTATGGAGAACTCTATACATATATTGCTGAACGCAAGTACCCATATCAGATTTTTAGACGCAAATTTATGAGCTGTCATTTATACCTAACACATATTAATACCGAAGCATAGATTCCAAATTCCTATTTGTAAAAACCTATAAATTCGAAACCTAAAATTTTAACTTTAAACGACCTTTAAAATCGATTTTTCTGGCCATTCATTTCAATGAACCATTTTTGAATTTTTATTTCTTTCATGTATTTCATTTGTTCATTTAATTCATTAATCATTTCTTACAATTTATTAAACCAATGAAATTTTATGCAGGGTGAGTTCAATTTTAATATTTAAAATGCTTTTTTTTTAATTTTAATATTATAGGGTTTAATTTTAATCGCAGTGTGCATTAATCCGCTTCGGTATTTTTGAATGAAAATAAATGTAATCATTTCAGCTTAAGAGCTCTTTTGTTCAGGTAAACTTCAACCCACCTTCCTTTCAAATTTGAATAACTTAATGTTATAAGAAACTAAATGGTGCATTGCTTAGAAATTTTTTATTTAAATTAATGAATAAATAAAAATAAAAATGCCAGAGTAATCTCCAGTTTTAAAACCGCTGCCTCAAAAAGTGTGTTTAGGCAATAAATGAAGGGAATTTTAATTAATTAATATATTCCTTAAATTTCTTAATTTTATGCTTCAGTAAACCTTTTATATTGCGTAATTTATTCTTCAATGAATACAAAAAGTAAACTTTAATGCTTGTTCTAATACTCTCGAACGGAATGCAGAAGTTGTTGATACATTAAGAAATGAAATGAAATGGTTTTAAAGGCATTTGAATTTTCACTGCTTTCAGCACCATAGGTCACTGCCAATTTATGTTCTTTTCCTTTTATGTACACAAAATTTTTATCTTAAAGCGTTTACGTACATATTAATTCACTACTATATTATTATATAATTCATTTTATTTTTAGAGTTTTCTTTGATTCAAAAAAGACCGAAAATAGGAGTTAATATAATCACACATTTTTCAAACTGTTATTAACTTTTCAGATCTTTCAGACTGGTTAATTCATAAGAAAAGCACCAAAAAGAGAAAATTTTAACTGTAGTAAAGAGATGTGAAGATAAAGGTGAACATAATTAAGTAAATTTAATAACCTGTGGCACTGAAACAAGAAAAAATAAATTTCCCATTTCACTTACATGCCTTATCTTCAAGTATTCTTAGGAAAACAGCAGTTTATTTATAAACTGACATTCTTTTAAATATTATAATTTAATATAATTTATGCTTCAAAATAATAATAATTCCTATTCAATTCTATTAGTGGAAAATTTAAAAAACCAGATTAATTATCTTTAAAATTTCCTTTTCTCGCCTTTCGGTATAAGTCTAACAAGAAAAAATGATTTGTTCACCTCTTTCGTATTTTATGCAAACGGTAAAATTTCTTATTATTATTACAAAAAGAATTTTTTAACTTCTTACATGCCTTATCTTTAAGTTATACTGATATTTAACATAGATAAACAACTGTTTCATATTTTAAGAGGAAAATCTAACAACAGAACTGTTTCTTACCATCCGATATATCTTCGTCAACGACAGACTTTTTAGACCACCAAGCTGAAAGGACGAAATAAAATATCAGCTATGTTATACAGTCCTTCAGAAAAATAATTAAGAGTAATTCCCAAGAAAGAATATTGCATATTTCAACAAGTCCGTCCAAGTTCAAATTTCATTAAGATAATAGTCCTTCGAAGTGCTTGAGTAGGCTAAAAATTTAACTTCTCCATTCATTACAGTCATAATGTAGTAGGAATGGGCTACAGAACATAATATTTCAAAATTTTAATCAACCTTAACCATCTTTAACTGAAAATCATGAAGTTAACTATTTCAACAGCAACCACATTCAATATTAATTTTAATAAAGTTGGTATTTTTTATACTTTAAATAGAAGTAGCAGAAGTTTTAAAAATACCCTGTCTGGCAAAGAAAATATTCAGTCATACAGTGCTAGAAAACAAAAAAAAAATCTGCATCCATAGTTAATCAGCACACGTGTAGGACCAATAAATTACTTTTCACATACAGACAAAACTTCAGTGGCCTTAAAAACAAGGTGATTAGTAAGAAGTGCTAATTCCATTTTGAGGGATATGTTGCTGAATTTGCATTCATGAGTATCCGAATAATATCCTGGGATATCATGAACCACGTGATCCGAGTTCACAATTAATTTCATTTCATGGAGATGGAAGCGTAATCTTCTAGATTAAGGAGAGATCAGGCTAACCAAAGAACCATCTACACACCATGAAAAGCTGATCTGAATTGCATATGCCTAGACAACTGCTGCAAATGCTGCATACGCCTAGGGGCTGCAACGCATGAATGAGCTCTCCTGCCTAAGCGGCTAATCCGACCTGACGCCCCCCTCCGAGCTGGTCACTCGTTCTGTCGATACGTTGGGAGTGGAATACATGAGAAGGATTATCTGCCTTCACAAGCCTAATAACCGCTATTTCTATGGGGCTCCATTCAGGTTCGGCAGGGACTTGTAAGGATCCTGTCAAGTCTCGAACATGGCTGTGTGTAAGGCTATAGGTTAAATAATGAACAAGACTGATCCTCGGGATTCAGGCCCCATAGGCCTGCCTCTAGAGAATGGAGTAACTCGTATATGGGCTACTCGATGATCTGGATCTGAGACTCGTTTCTAAAGCACTGTATAAGGCTAGACATTAGTCTCTTGAAATTTTTGTGTTTGGAAAGCCCTGAAAATATAAGAGCTCTACGAGCCATAGCACTTTATTAGTATGGAGACATCATATTACTGTGCCTGTGATGTGTACTAGAGATGAGCAGCTTTTGGTGCTGATAGTATCTCAAACTAGGACTTTACAGTGAAGGACTGTGAGACGTTGCAAAATGGCAGAAAAATACACTCACTGGCCACATGACTGTCAGACTTGCAAGTAATCACCATTCATGAGACAGAAGGGTATTCGTTGCTAACATTACGCTGTTCTATTCTTTATCCCACACATGTGTTGTGCTATACCATTTGTAAACGTTTATAATGATAGCATGTTCTTTAACAGTAACCTTCGGAATGTACTGCTAGACGAAAAACCCATAGCAGCTCTTTTTTAACATTATTTGGAATAGTTATTATATGTCACGGGATTATTAGTGAATTAAATTATATGATTCAATTTATCAGGCATATTAATATCCACAATCGTGATCCAAAGTATCTACTTATATTATTTATGAAATCTCATCTAAATTATCGTTCTCTTCTATAGATTAAACATACATTATATTTCTCACCTATATTCATTTATCTTTCTCATCTAAACATCAATTGAAAATGATGTTTGAAAATATTTCTAAATATATTTATTATCAGGATTCTCTTTGAAGGGAAATATCACGCGATTCTGCTTAATTTTTTTATCAGGTTATTAACTAGGATACAAACTTCTCTATTATTTCTTAGAAAGGTCAAGAGAAGTTTAAATAGCAATAGATTTATTGTTTTATAGTTATTTTCTTTCATTAATAAAAGTGTCTCGATCCAATTATGTTTCACAAGATGAGAGCCCATTTCCGAAATGCCCAATCTACTCTGTAATTCTCAAAGCTAAAATTTAAAATAAGAATCATTCCTCTTTTTTTTTAATCCATCCCTTCCTTTATCATATCTTATTTCGGCTGATCTTTAGAATATGGTAACTGGTAATTTGGCGACATTTTGGAGCCGATAAAGGTTACTACCTGGGACTTTGGTAATAATGTGAGCAGTAAGTACTCAGTTCCGATTACGCATTATTTTGTGTGAGGGAAATGAGAGATCATGGGATATGTCATGTGATATTAATGGACGAATTACGGTTCTTTAATCGGAAAAGGGGGGAAATCTGGAAAAAATCTGGAAATTTTGTATTTGGCTTTATTCTGTGTTGTGTGAAACAGTGTTCGTTAATTTTTAAATCCCATGGCCCTAACTAAAGTGAATTCGAAATGGGTATTTAGTGGGATTGAAAGGGGTAGTAATAAGTGTTTCTTTAAGGTTGTGCGAGATAGAAGTAAAGATGTTTTATTAAGTTATTTATTTTACCTGGTACCTTGCTGTGAACTATAAGTATGATTTTAAAGATCCTGAAACAGGCGCACATACGCTTGCTTTTTATTTAGCGCGGATGAAATAAGAAAAGTTTATCGGACGTAATCAAGAAGATTCTGAAGAAGATAGGTAAGTTAGTATTTTTAATTATTTGAGGATATTATTTTTTATGCATTGTTCTAAATGTAAGGTGGAAGTAAAGTAATTTTATGTTTGTAGGAATTTGGTATACGTTTTAGTTGGAGTAAACGTGCATGGAAATAATTTAAATATTTGACACTAAGTACTTGTAATGTTTGCGGTATGAATTCGTTGGTGACGTTTATAGTATAATAGATAATTTAGAGGTAAAAGTTTTTGGATATTTTATTTATTTTATACGTGGAAATGTTCATATTTGGAAAGGGTATATACTTTTTCGTTATTAGGTAATTTCATATATGTTCTTTTAAAGATTCAGAAATTGTCATGTATTTTCGTGAAATTTTTCTAATTTATGAGAAAAAAGCAGTGTACATGGATATAGTGAAGAGTGTGCGCAATGCCATTTTTGTGTAACTCTGAGATGTTTTTTTAAGTAAAAATAAGTCGACGTGTACATGGTTTATGTGTATGTGTTATTTTGAAAAACGCGTAAGGAGTATGGTATTGTGCACTTTTTCTCAATTTTGAAGTGAATATTTGTCATGATTAAGCAGTTTTGTTAGATAAAATTTCTAGCATAAGTGTAATTCGGCTAGTAGATTGTTGGAAGAAGTGTTCAGTAGATAAAAAGAAAAAGAAACATGTCTTTACTTCGTGAAGACAAAATGGCGGCGGGAAAAAAAATAGAGGGTTGCTGTAGGAGAGTTGGTCGCCAAATTTTCACCAAAAAATCGCCAAGTTATCATAATGTAAAGATCAACCCTTATTTCTAAAGTATGTCAAAGACGAATTCTTCAGAGATATCTTTTTATCTCACATATTACAAAAGACAGCTTTCCTCTCGAGAACTGTCATTCCTACAGTAGAGCTGAGCTTTTGTCATCAAGATGAAAATATGATATTATTCATCAATTAAACGGCATGCTTTTTTCTGAGCTATTGAAACATTTAATCCCCATCTCCTTACGATTTCAGTAGAATGTTTACATTATTTCTGAGTATTAAATTTGGTTAAACTGACCCTTCGGGGCTTTTATGGTATAGGAGTTACAGCCACTGACGGGTCAATCTCGAATCTTGAAAAAGGGATGGTTGTTGGCAAATGTATAAAATATATAGTGCCACGAGCCTGTTCGGCATGGGACAGTTAAAATATACTGGGAACTGAAAGTGCTCTCGAGTGTTTTTTGTGGCAGTTGGAACTTTTCCCGAGGTGCTTTCCTTCAAAATAGATGTGGAACTGGTCAAAGTCTTACTGCCGCCTATATGGTGCTCAAAATTCATGCCAACGATAGGTCCAGTATTCTACTCCTTGCTACAATAAAATGCGTGGACTTGTTCTGATTAAGTAATACAAGTGAGATCAATCATAACAGCAAGGCTTTTGCCTAAATGTCATATAATCTACATTACTAGTAAATGTACCATAACAATGCCCGTATAGATCACAAGTATGTATAAAACCGCATTCTTATCCTGAAACAGGATGCATATAGAAAAAAAACTCTTTGTATTCCGCGGAAGGAAGACAGTAGGAACAAGGGCATACAAAAATATGGCAATATCTCAAATTCTAAATAAAGAAATAAAATAATGCTTAAAGCGTGCTAAAGTTAGGAAGAAGTTAAAGTGAATTTCATAGAGAATTTTACGCAAGTGATGCACAAGGAACGCAAAATCCAGGAACCGTAAGGAAGTTTGATGTACATGAAAAACAAATGCAAACCGATAGAGGCAAACAAAGAATTATCTTGAAAAACATGCCAAAATTGATGATAGTTTCGCAGAAAAGTCAACAAAATATCCCCATCTAGAAGAAAAATCTCTCGAATCATATCTATAGAATTTGCACAATTGCAATTTGAGTGTCTCTTAAAGGTCATAGCTCAAAGGATTACTCATAATAAGTAATTTTTCGAAAATGAGTTTAAGAAAAGTTACGGCTGTGCAAGCTATTTAATAGCACGACTTAGGCTCATTATTCAGCATCGAACTCCAGTGTCACAGTGGCTTCCTGTCAAATACGAATAGAAAATACTTACATTTCAGAATCATATCTTCAGTTATAAAAAGCACGCAGCTACGACTCGGAGGCAATAAGCAATGCTGACATGCCAAATGATATTTCAATCAATCAAGGATGAAAAACAGTTCCGGTGCCAGAACAGATAATTGAAAAGCAGAATTTTAGAATGATGCTGAGCATCACCACTGATAAAACAAACTCCGAGTTTATATTACTGTTCAAAAGTAAAACTCAGCTTTAAAAAAAAAAAAAAAACTAGCGTCTGAAATACTGCTACGAGTTAAAGCTCAAGGTTGCATGACACTTTACATCAGTCGGATAAATCAGTGTGGTTTCGGCATCTAGCTACATAGTTACACGGATAAACGATTTTGGTTATTAAGAGCTCTCGAAGTCATGCAACCCGAGAGGAAAGGTGATGAAGAAGAAAGTGATGTGTGCGCGATGTCAAGAGAGATGACTGGAGTCCCGCAACCGTTTGATGTTAGTATGTAAGGTAATTACCGTACGCTTTCAGGGTGTAATTGGATATCACGTCCGGCTAGCAGTCAGGAGGTCGAGTTTTAAGAATCCTGACGAAGGAGCTGTACATCTTCATGTATCCTACTACAAAAAATACCTAATGACTCCATAATTGGTGCCCGAGGTAAAAACGAAAAGGCCATAGACCATCAGGATTTGGCGATTGAGTTTCTTCGTCCGCAACCGCCTTATAAGAAAGGAACTATGTAAGGTATTTTCTCTCTCCTTACCGTATGCTTTCGTAGTGTAATTAATGGCACGCCCGGCTTGCAGTCAGGAGGTCTGGTGTTCGAATAACGTCACCGCCATTGTACACTTTCGTGTCTCTTACTTTAAAAAACACCTAATTTAATGAATCTACAAGTCGTCATATTAAGGCTAATTAGAGACATTTCTCTCATGACTGGATTGTCTACGTAAACGATTCTGACGGGACGTACGAATGAATTGTGTCTTGACGTAAGTTAATACCAGAAGAAATAAAGTTTAAAGTTTCAAAAGTTGCGTCGAAGCTCAGGTAAAAATCCAATTGATGCTAGTCCATTATGGCAGAAAATTATTTATTATACCAAATATAAGTTGCAACTTAGTTTTGGTTAAAGTTTTAGAATAAGAGTACGCGCCCACATATGTCTAAATATGGTACTTCCATTTCAATGGCTAGACATTTTACATATTTTGCATTATACAGACGGAGAAATTACCCATTAGTTGTTTATTGCGCATTTTCCAAATTCAAATTGAAGCCAGTATTTTGATTTACAAAGTTTATACTTAGTGCTACAAGAAAACTTGTAAAATTATATCTGGAAATCTATTTGTATAACATTCATACTTCTGAAATAGTAACAGTTTGTACGCCATCCTACAAGTAAGAACGATGAAATTTGTCATTTTTAAACCTGAAGAGTCGGAAGATGGATAAACTTTAAAAATATTGAAATTTAGAAAAATATCGAAATATTTGTAATGAAAAATTATTATTAACAAATGAGTAAAATTTTTACACTTACTGTTTTTCTTCTCTGTATTCTTTTTCCATGTTCTAGGTATCAAAGACAGAGATTCATCACTGTCATCTGCTGAGATAAAAAAGGAATAAAACTAAATACACATTTTCTATTTTCACTGATGGTATTAATATATAACAAAAAGGGTTAATCTTTGGATTATGGTAACTTGGCTATTTTTGGCGAAAATTTGGCGATCAACTCTGCTACAGCAACCTGCTAGTTTTTTTGGGGGGAAGACGCCATTTTGTTTTTACGAAGTAAAGGCATGTTTCTTTTTTTTACTCAACATTTTTTCCAACAATCCGCTAGCCGAATCACGCTTATGCTAGAACTTTTATGAAACAAAACTGCTTAAACATGACGAAGATTAGGTGCGAAATTGTTTCTAAGTTCTTATTAGCTAAAATCACGATCGGAATTTTCTGGAAAGTAGTAGAACAAACACAAATTTATTTTTACAGAGCAAATTTATATATGAAACATGTAAATAATTATTCTCATAAATTAGAAAAATTTGCAAGAAAATGCAGGAAAATTTTGTGAATCTTTAAAGTCGGTAAAAAGGACATATACGGAATTACCTAATCGCGAAAAATTATATACCCTTTCCAAGGATGAACATTTGCACGTATAAAATAAATAAAATATCTAAGAATTTTTCCCTCTAAATTATCCATTATAAAAGTCACCTGCGAATTTATAAGGCAAACATTAAAAATGGTTGCAAATACTTAGTGTCAAATATTTAACTTATTTCCATGCAGGTTTACTTCTACTAAAATGTATTCCAAAATGCTACAAACGCATAATCCACAAAATAACTATCATTTAATTAAAATATAATTAAATTAAAAAACACTAGTTGCTTATATTTAGAACAATGCATAAAAATAATCTCTTCAAATCATTAAAAATATTAACTTACCTAATCTTCAGAATCTTGAGTGCATGGTGGATAAACTTTTCATGACGAAGATTATGTGCGAAATTGGGAGAAAGTGAAGAATCGCCCACTGCTTGCCGCGTTTTTAAGAATTGCACATATGCGGTATCATCCATGTACACGTCGACCTATTTTCACTTAACAAAACATCCCAGACTTGCACAAAAATGGCATTGAGCACACTCTTAACTTTATCCATGTACACTGCTAAAATCCTAGCTAGTAACCTTTATCGCCTTACCAAAATGTTGCCAAACTACCTATTACCATATTCCAAAGATTAGCCTCAAAAAGCAAAATCTATGCTTATAATATCATTATGTATTTTGTGCGTACTTTGTTAGAAAGCTTCATGTTGAGTCATATGAGGAACTAATCCCAAATATACATTACATACTATTGAACTAATCATAAATATACACTCATTGAAGGTGATTAATATTATCTTACGAAGCAGATAAACAATACATAGTAGTGAGCCAAAACATCTGTAAAACATCTGTATCCCTTGGAAATATCATATGAGTATTTCCTCAATTCGAATTTTACATAGGTAACGTTTCAATTTTGCGAGTGAAACGAATTCTAAAAAATAAAATAAAGTTCTTACTTTTGTGTCTAGTATAATAACTCCTAATATTTCAGTCAGTTTAAAATAAAAGATTCGTACTGTCATGGGCAATTTTCACGAACCTATGTTTATTGAATATTTTCATCGAAAAAATAAAGAAATCAAAGATAAAATTTAACACGTTCAAAACTAATGAGGTGCGTTCATTCACATACCTCAAGATCCTATCTGCTCTTTCATGCTTTTAAATTATATTGTGTTGCATTATTATTTAAATATGACGATTGCAACAGATTACTTTTAGTGTAAATAAATTCACACTCTGTGTCAAGTGGGAGAAAACTCAGAACTATTATTTAAACAATACTCACCCGTTCTGTGCATTCACGCAAAACTCTCGAAAATGCTGTACGTTATTTTCTACTAGTCTTACGTGAGGCACTGAACAAGAATCTGAGCAATTTATTTATAAAATTTTCCAAGTCAATAAAACAAATAAAATAGTTTCGCATTATAAACATTCAGTTATTATATCTACATTTTGGGAAATTAATTATCTATTTCAGTACGCCAAGTATGTCATTAAGTAACAAACAGTAAGTAACATTCCTGTACGTCGAATAATTAAATATTACATGCATTTGTTACGGCGATACTCGTACTCGGCGATTTAAGCATAAAGGCGATTTAAGGCGATCAGTAACAAGTTATCTCGTAGCTGGCAAGTAAACTCAGTTTGCCGACTACAGGTATTCTCGTAGATCGCAGCGATCGTGTGAATGACTGTATTAGAAGATAAATTATCAATCTTCAAAATCAGCAATTTTTGTTCCTAACTGCTTCCTAAATCTGCATTCAGAATTCTTGATTTTAGGTTGGAAAAAAGTATGGTATATCAGTAAATTCATTCTCAAATATCTTCGCAAAGTTTTCACATAAAATTGTGAACTATTTTAATTTTTAAAGCCAATATGCGTTTTTCACTGATTTTTCTAGCGTACCAACGAGTCCAAAAGTCACTAAATTCACTCTGGTAGTTTCGATCTGGGCTCGAGTTCAGGCGAATGAGCTGGCTGCATGGACATTTTCGTGTTTTTTCCCATGTGTAATATGTATACGATCCATTTACCCGCAGCAAGTCCTTGACGAAGGCATCTCACATTTTAGGCAGATAGCCTTCGCGTGCTTTGCCATAAGTAAGTAAATCACCGAGTTTCTGCACTTCGATTAACACATAAAAATGACACATTTTGTTTTTACAGAGCCTTTCCATTGCCATATAAGACATTGTTCATAAAATTATGCGCTTTTCTCGGAGAAAATTTATGATTAGAAATATACTTCTTAACTGTATAATATTCAACTTGAGAAAACTACAAAAGCTGGAATGACCAATTTATTATACTTTTCATGCATTTCTTTGCTTTGAACATCTTGGAAACTAATATACAGCAAATGGATACTTGTTACTTTTCCATTCATTTCAGCTTAAACTTCCGATTCGCTCTGATAACTGCTTATCATTCATCTGTTTTATTCCTCCATGTCTTTGGTTTTGGCTTGGTAGGTTATGGTAAAGTGCACGAGAAGTATCCGCAAGGGGGGGAAGCCTTCATTCTAAAGAATACTCGCTCGTATCCACGTTACACATGAGGAAAACAACGAAAACAGCCATGCAGACAGACCGTTGGCCTGGAATCGAACCCAGTTCGGAACTACCGCTGTTCGACGATTTTGCCGCTCGGTCGCTGGCAAAAATAGGCATTTATCCAGGTGCACGTAGCTAAAAAAAAATGATGCAATCCACAGGTAATAGTTTTTTTTTTTTTTTTTTTTTTTTTTTTTTAACATTTTGCTTCAGTTTGAGCCGTTAAAATTTTAATTAATGATGGTAGAGTTTGTTCCAAAAATTCTAAAAGTTCAGGATACATTTTAAAATATACGAAATACTATTTACAGAGTTGTTCTGCCGAATTAACTTGAAGTAATATAAGTTCAATGGTGAACATTGTACAAAATCAAAATATCAGCCAACAATCAAATTATTTTAAAATTCCAAGCCACCTTTCCGAAAACCTAATATAACATATAAATGTTTAACCTGTTCCCGCCGAGGCCAATTTTTATGTTCGTCGCCGGAGGCGGCGCTCGAATTTTTGCCGCGTTTCATCTGGCGGCGCGCGATTATTACCTGTTCAGACGAGTTGTACGTTTGCTAATAGTATAGTGAGTACTTATTTTGTAAGTTGTGTAACTCGTGCGGTTTTTTTTTTTTTTCATCTTAACCTCAAATTTCTGCCAATAAGTATAACTAGAAAGGCAGTTAGAATGTTTTTTTTTTTTTTTTTTTTTTTTTTTTTTTTTAAATTTTTGCCCTTTATAAATAATAGATAACAGGGATATGGAAATAAGGGATTCGTCTGATGAAACTATCAATAGAAGATATCAATAGCTGCAATCTAATAACACAATCGAATGCGTACCACCGGTGGTACGCGCCGATCGATAAGACAGACTAGTGCGGGCTAGCGGTGGTACACGACGGCGTGAACGCGTTAATGCAATACCCAAGAATAGATGTAGTACATAACACTCGGCACTTGTTGCGGGTACCGTATAAGCGCTTATCGATTAAGTCTGTCAATTCTGGCAACTAAGCCCTGTGGTCACCTTAATATCTAATACAAATACCCTTATTTGTTGGAAGATAGCAATTTACAATGCCACATATTTCAGCATAATATCTATTACACTGGATTAGTACCGAAGTCTGCTATTATGTTTTTTGAAAATGGAAAATTACAGTTAAGTTCTAAACCTTAAACTGGAGATTTCCCTAAAATTAAATAAATTTCAAGTGTAATGAATCAAAATATTGCATACATGATATTTAAATATTAGAGATTTTTGATAGCAATATTATCTTACCTGCTTCGGAGTGCGGCCAAGCATACATGTAAGATATACAGGAAGAACTTATGCTAATGAGCAAAAATGAAAGAGGAAGCATAGTTTCGGTTCTGAAGTTCCTGGCTTTAATCTAAAATGATAAATGAATTAAATATTTTCATATTAATAAAATATAAAATTTTTAAAAGGTACGTATTAATTTAACCACTTTGTCGCAATTTGGTGATTTTTACAATTGAAAGATAAAAGCTATTATCGGGTGCAAGGTGGTGGTTTTTGAGGCTTTCTCGTAAAAAAGATTTCCAGACCATCAATATTTATTATAAGTTAGTAAACATTATTAACATATGAAAAGGAAACATGCTTCAGTAATTTTAAATACAAATTTTATCTATTAAGTATTAACTAACATTTCTTAGTTTGCGTAAGGTATTAAAAAATGAAACACATTTTTCTCCAAATCCTTCTGTAATTTTTTTCGCTACTCTTCTCCCTAAGTATGCAGCAATACGTTTACACTTAAAAAAAAGTTCAGAGAATTTCGAAGTTACGGCATTGAGCAAACACCGATAATATCGGCTATCCGCCAAACGCATTTCGTTGTTTCCTTTAGAGATTTTGCATTAAAATTCCTGCGGGAAATTTTACAACAGTTTGCAACAGTCCTGCGGGAAATTTTACAACAATTCTATTGCTGCCAAATTCTACAGCATATATTTTAAAATAAAGACATAAAACAAAACTACTTTTTATAAAAGCTTTTGGAGTACAACAAAAACAACGCATATGAAAATGGCAATGTTGTGTGACTGAAGGATTTTTATGAGCATGGTTGCCAGATTTTAGCACATTTTGAAATTTTTGGCGGCTTCTGTCAATATAGTTGCAATAATACGTGAGTACACTGCGCAAAAAATAAGTAGGACAGTTCTATATCTCCTGCTCTACTGGGCCGATTGACGAAATTTAACTTGCGTATTTCATGTCTGGAAAGGGCGACTTGGGAGATAAGTAAGGTAAAATCAAATAAGTTTAATAAAAAAGAGATAATTTTAAATATATATCAAATCCAGTTAACATTGAGGAACTAAAATTTTGAGAGCTAATTTTTAAAAACGACTCGGGCGATTTTTACAAAACTTAGCAATTTGGCGTAATTTGAGTCGTAAAATCGAAGTATGGAAAACAATTGGCATTTCATTTCAAAAAAATTTCCGATTTTGTGTCAAAATACTATATTAAACAAAGCTATATGTAAATCTGATATACATCCTAAGTCGAGCTTCCGTGACATGAAAAGTGCAATTTGAATTTCGTCAATCGGCCCAGTAGAACGAAAGATATACAACTGTCCCCACCCCACCCCTTTTTTTACGCAGTTTAGCTGTTAAAATAATAGCAAATCAAGATAAAAATTTTAATCAGATACTGTAAAGCAGGACTCATTATTTCTTTCTAACGTTACTTGTAAAAACTTATGCATTGCGCCGTCGACGTTAAACTGTCGTCAAGCGGTGCGATTTAATGCCAGTTATGCACAATCTTAACATCTGCGCTTTTGTTTGATGTAATTTTGATGGATTCTCGATAAGCCCCATTCTGTTTTTATAAACGAGGATATAAATTAATTGTGACTGCTGTATTTTTTCATGCATCTTAAAATAATATATATTAAAATTTGTTTCTTACTTTCTAAACAGTAAGCAATGGATTATTTTCCGATCATCATGTTATGTAATCCGATCATCAGAAACGTGTGTATTAATGAACACGAAGTGGTCATATATATCCTCATTTCAAAATATAGCCGATAAAACAGTAATATATTAGAAAGGAAACTACGAGAATGTTTTAGGCATAGCTTTCTAAACAAAGCTTCCCGTAACTCAGAGGGCCTAACAAAATAAACCAAATCGACAAATGCGTGTTTAGGAAGCACAGAATTCAAAAGTGTAGAAGACTGATTGTTTGTTAAATAAAAAGGCGTTAGATACTTGAGAATTCTGCAAGAACGTTTGGACCAACTTTAATGAAATCTCCGCCAGCTTTCATGGTACAACGATAGGCAGCTTTCAGGGTTGACGGAATAACACATAAACATATTTATATCTTATTATTTTAGATAATAGCGATAGAAATAAAAATACTTTTTAATTAATTATTTTAGATAACTAGTTTTGCGTAAAAGGTAGCATTAAAAAATTTCTTTTAATTTATTTTGACTTATTTGAACTTATACTCTTTCGAACTTATTTGAGAGCCAGTTGTACAAACGTTTCGACACTTTCCTTTCCTGTCATGGGACTCTACTTGGCGCCAAACATAAATGTTGGTGTTAAACTTAACTAGATGGTGATAATCTTAACGATATGTAAAGCTTCTCAAAAAAACACTACTTGTAATTACAGTCATGTATCATATATATATATATAAGCTTATATGTGAAATTCCCCAACTTTTTTTTTAATTAATCATAATAATAATGTTTTTTACGAATCTTTTGTAATGGAAAATAGCTTGCATTTACATCACATGCAAGGAATGGTATGAAATAAATTATATTATCTTTCATGTAATGGCAATACTTGCCGAGCCGTTTGGAATGTAAATGTTAGAGAATTTATAGCAAAGAACGTAACGTAACATAAAGACTAACTTTTAAAGACTAACTTTTTTGCAATAAATGTAAATATAAAGACTAACATTTCTAACACCAAGCTTCTGTGCCAAAGGACTGCTGCAGGATTGCTTGCAGGTCGATTGGGTTATGAGTTTAGGTTTTGTTTATTTCGTTACTGCATACTAGGGCTATCTAGCCAAAATAGAGGGATGCCTCGTGGAGTATTTCCTGAGAGAAACTGGCTCATATCCACGTTATACATAGACAAAACCACGAAACCGCCATGCAGCCATCCGCTCGCGTACAATCGAGCCTAAGTTGAACTACCAGTGGTCAGCGACTTCAGCGCTCGACCGCTGGTGGACGCGAAGGGGGTTTTTTAGTATAAAGCTCCACTACTACAAACCATAGCAAAGGAAGAGACAAGGCAGATCGCCTTTTTTTTCCCAAAATAATTTACAAGCTTACTGATAGCGGCAGCTCTGCCACAAGTAAATAATACTTCTCTTTATTAATGGTTAAATTAGAATAGATTTCTTTTTAACCCAAAGGGGCGTTAAACCGAAAGGGCTATTAGTCTCAAAACAGCATTTTGCATCGTTTAACTTTCTGCGTTGATTCACTATTCAAACTGCTGCCACCAAGTATTATCACTATGTATTATAGTTAAAGAAACTAAATAAAGAAGAATCTGCATGAATGCAGTAATGTTTCTCGCATTATGAAAAAACAACGGTACGTAGAGTGATCAAATTTTGAATAACGTATTCCTCCAACGGAACATGGGTACTTGGAAACGCGAATTTTGGATTTCCATTTATTATCTATTTCCGATTTTGTAAAACTTTAACGAATTTTTGATTAAAAAATTCAACGATATCAAAGTGAACAATGGCAACCCTGTGCAGAAAAGAAACATTTTTATCTCCAGCACTCTAGACTTTGTATCGGAAATTCTAAAGATATGCTGTTCTTAAATATTACGTAATATTGAGGTTGAACTGAATTTTATGTGTTTAAAGTGCGAAGAACGTGATATTTCATAAATAAAGGTAACACATAAAACGTCAAAAAAAACGCCTTTTTGGTCCTAATATAAAATCTAAAAGCTTTCAGATTTTCATTTTATTTTTAAATTAATATGATAAACAATAATGTTTATTGCTGAAAATAATTATGAATAATTCTACTGAACTAGTTTTCATACGTATTTGTTTACTTTCGTCAGACTTGTTAAATTTTCATAACCTGAAATAGTTGATAATTTAAATTTTATAGTTGTGGTAAATTTAACCATATGAAAATAGAGTTATTGCTTTAAACATTTCTAAGTAGTATAAATAATACAAAAAGTAAATTCTTATAAATTATTTACTGCATAAAAAAATGATAAACTGAGCTTTTTTAAGAGATGCTTATAAATGATTTCTCTATGCCCTTACCTGATTGATTAAAGAGAATTTGACATGTTTTTTCTCTAGCTTAGCATCGGCATCTACTTCTTTGACTGGCTATCAAAAACAGCTTTGCTAATTCTAAAAGTACATGAGATGGAAAAAGTATTTTCTTAGTTCTTAAATTATATTGAACGAATTGTTTCAGCTAATTTAATCAAAATCAGTTTGAAAGATGTTTAAAGCACAATGCTATATTTTTTCATCAAATGACTAGTAAGTTTGTATTGTGTTAAATGATCTATAATTTCACATAATTCGATAAATACTTTGTATCTTAAATATGTGAGCTATTACAATGTTTGAAAGGGGTAGGTTTATCCAAGCTAATATGTCAAATCTTTTCCCCAGAAAATACTCAAATTTCGTGCTTATGGCGTACATCACATCTACAAGTTCTTCTGCAATAAATGTAAATATAAGTCTGACCTGTGGCCGAGTGGTTTAAAATGCTGAATACTAGTAGTTCCACCAGGATTCAAGCCCAGGCGAACGGACTGCATGATTGATTTTTTCCTTGCCTTTATGTGTAACGTCACTACAAACCAGTTTTCCTTAGAAAGTCCTCCACGATAGCATCCCTTCTCTTAGACTGATAGCCCTTGTGTTTCTTGCCATGTTCAAATAACCAAACCTAACCTAACCAAATGCACAGACCAGTAGTTTAGCATAAAGAATTTTTGGTTAAAAATCCTCGATATCTATAAAAATCTATAAAATCTATAAAATCGGATTATTATTTATTACGTACTCCGTCATTTGACATTGCAGGGAAAGAGACGGATGCCTCGTGGAAGTCTTTTTAAGGGAAGTTAGCTCATATCCCATTTTACAACATGAGCAAAACGCCCAACAAGCCTGTTCGAGGGGACTCGAAGCCCGGACTGAAGGACCAGCGTTCAGCGGTTTTTAGCGCTCGGCTATTATAAGATCGAATGTAAGACTGCAGTGTAATGAAAGTGTTACTGGTTGACGAAAACTTAATAAAATCGTGATCTTTAATCTGAAATTAGTCAAAGTAATTCAAATTCTGATATTCAGGAAATAATATGAAATTATTTCTGTGTAGAAAAAATCTAGTCAAGTTTGGTACTCAGATGATGTATCTAAAAAGTTATGTCGCAGCAGTTTTCGAGTACAAATATTTTAATATTAAGGTCACAAGATGGAAAGTTTTTTCATGACTGATAACTGTAATTTTCTTACTTTACTCTGATGTTTTCTCAGAATTTATTAATCTAGTGTTTGTAATGCCTGCGGCTATATTTTACAGAGAATAATTAAAATTTATAACAGAAGTAAAAAGAATAAAAGCAACTACATGAGGCATCTTCATTAAAAAAGGCAAAAGTGAAAAAAAAAAAAAAAACATTTGTGGCTTTAACGCACTCAGCTGATTACTGTTTACTTTTACAGAGCGTTAAGTGTTGCCATACTTTTTAATATTAACTATACTATTTATGTTTAGGCTGAAAATTGAAAAAATATCCGGAGAAGTTATAAAAATTATTCCAAATTTTTTGTTAATTTTTTACTGCTCTTCTGGCATGTTTTTCACAAAGTTTATACGGACTCTTAACAAACAAAATATACTAAATTAATGCAAAATAAAAAAAAATGTTTAATTGAATTATTCTTTGTTTTGAAGATAAGAATGACAATGATTTGTAACACAACTTAAAATGGAATTCTAAATTTTAAGACTTTTTCTTTTGGGAAGCTGGTAAAAGGTTATTTTTATGCATTTAAAATAGCGAAATTTGCGATTTCCATAATACAATCAGTATGATGTTTCTGACTGTATTATTTCAGAGGTCAAATTAAGAGCTGTATTAACGATTAAGCAACTAATTAATTCCGATTCGTTTGCGAGTCGGAGGCTTATTAGTTTTATTATGAGGTATTTGATTGTTTACCGAACTTGATAAATTAAAATGTTGGATTTTCAACTTAAAAATTTGTTTGATATTGATATTTCCAAGTATTAACACTGGTCATCATGGGGTCATCAGTGACAGACATCTGGTTATTTTAGTAGCGCTGTGGAGGTCATAGACTGATCTTTTGATCGATGTGTGACAGCAGAAAAACTTTGAAGTTCCAACACTGCTTGAACAGCATAACATTTCTAAACAAAATAAAGAAAACATAATGTTAGCAACTTACCTAAGTTATCTGCATCAATGACAAACTGTCCTTTCCATTCAACCTACAGTTAACTGCTTCAGGTCTGCGCACAATTCGTCCTACTTATATGGAGCAAGAGACGACTTTAGAGAAAAACATCTTGAAATATTCACAAAGCAAGTATTAAGGACAGAACTGTTGCTAACTTCTCTTAATGCCATCGAGTCTTCCTTCAGATTAGTAGTTTCCTGAAATAGAACACGATAATCATTCTTTCTTAAATGGCTTTACAGTTGTCACTTTGGGTGAGCGTTTGGGAATTCTTCAAACATCAGTCGCAAATTACTGATAAATCCTGTTTACAAAGTAACTTTCTGAAAAGCATCGTTTGCTTCTTACGAAAGCACAAATGAGTGCTATCCAAAGGAATTTTGCATGGCATGTAATGCAATATTTTGAGTTTCAACTAAATGGTTTTGAAACATCATTATTTACCTTAGACTCACTTATTTATTAAAACTATACCGAATGGTAAAAAGAATAATATATAGCTCATCTTCTGCATTTTCTTTCTTATAATTAAAACACTCTACTTTTTGCATTGTTCGAATCAAGGAAGTGATATGTGGTATTCTTTTAAAGGATTAGTCAAAGAAATAATAAAATAACAGTGAGTTTCAGTAAAGGTTCCTTACTTCATTTGTAGCCCTATAGCAGCCACTTGTATAGGAAGATTTTAAGGGAAAATTTGTGCAATACAAAATAAGAAACAAAAACAGTACTTTACGTCAATAAATCATTAAAGTAAGCTAAAAATAACCGATTAAAGAAAGACTATCATGCATGCAGAGCTAAGACATCTTTTAAAAATTGAAGAAACTAATAAGGATCATTAAATTGCTTATGCGGTCCTTCTGTTTATTAACAACATGCTGCAGTTCCTCTGCTTATTATTCTCAGGAACTAGGGAGCCTTAATAAGCTAGATAAGAAAACTAAGCTTCTGGGGAATCTCCGAGAACGGAAAAGTGAAGTTGTGTTGTGTTGTGTTGTTGTGACTAATCCCGCTGGTCTGACTTCATCAGGACAAGCCCACGAAATATATCGTGACAAAGAGTACAAGATTACGTCTGTCGTTGGAAAGAGCCTTCGACACTATATAAATGACAACATGATTTTGCTCAGTTCCCCCCTAATTTTGAGACAGAGCATGCCGGGGGATGGGTCCGAGAGTCTACCACCCTTACCACCAAACCACACTAGAAGACTTTCGGCTCACCATACATTAAGGGTGCTAGCATGCCGCAAAGAAGCTATACATTTGCAAACATTCATGCCTTCTCCAAGATTGGAATCCGGGCCTTTCGGTGCAATAGTCAGAGTCACTAACCACTGTGTCTTTGGGCGGAAGAAAGTAAGATAAAGGTGGGAAAACCATCGTCTTTTGTACTGAAAGTGGGCAAAACAAATGGAAAGCAACGAGGGACAAAAGTCACGCCAAATAAACGGCAGTAGTCTAAATTAAGTTTCGAAATTGTGGCCTCTAGGCATATGGGTAGTAAATGGTCTGACCATTTATCTCCTGGATGAAGGAACTAAATTAACACTCCTGCCTTTCATATTCTAGGATAGAAAAATAGTTACCCGGTTTGTTTCTACTTCTTTTATGAACACTGATACTATAAAATATTCAGATGTATCATGCAAAATAGCTGATGTGCCAACAGCAGAGCAAACAGAATTTGAGTTTTGTATTTCTATCGGCTAGAACTGTTAGATATCAAAAATAAAAATAATGGTTAAATAATAAGGTATAGGTATAGGTAACGGGGAGCACGGGCACTGTCCCTTTACCATAATGGTTAATCGGTAGTGCACCGTGCCCACCACTGTCTAGAGCCAATGTGTAGGAGCCATTTGCGCCCAGCACCAAAAGCCGGGCCCGACGCTCGGACCATCCAGAGGGCGTCAAAATGATCAAACGCCCTCCCACAACGCTCACCCAACCGCCCAGGCATTAGTACTATGATCGCAAATACTGAGATTCTCTGACGATTAATACAATGTGCATTGGTACATCCTGAACTTGCAATTATAAATATACTGCATAATTAAGTCCAATAGTACAAATCAATGTAAAAAAAAAATTACAATGCATATTTCGGAACGTAAGTGCAAATAATAGTAAGTTAAAGGACTACTGCTTCAAATATTAGTACATATGATAACAATACTGAAATTCTCTGACAATTATAATACAATGATCAATTGGTACATTGGTTTATTTATTTATGGCAAAGCACACTAGGGCTATCTGCCTAAGGGGATGAATGCCTTCGTGGAGGACTTTCTAAGAATTAGAAAGTAAGACTATAGCACTTAATTTAGAATATGTCCGGTTTTTTAACACATAATCTTCCTTACAATGCCCAATATTCAGAACCAAGCTGAGAAAAATTAAGACTTTATAGAAGAAATACATAAAATTTAAAGTCTTGTTTTGGTTAATATAGGTTGGCCCGATAAATACAAAATAATAACTAAATGTCAACTTATTTACTTGCAATCCAACTTCAAGTTTATGAAAGTGCAGAATTCTAAAAATAAGAGCAGAATTTACTTAATTTTAGTGAAACTTACAAGGAACATTTTAGTCGCTGCGCAAGTTTCTTAATAAGTTCTAACATTATTTTTAAAAACATATTTGAGGATCACATTTAAGTTTTTTTGAAAAAGCTGCTGTAATTTCTGTAAGACATGCTGTATGGAATACTGATTTACAAGTTTGACATTTTTTAAATATCTTTCTGTGAAAATATTCATCACTTTTGTAAAATCCCCGTCAAATTACATTTTAAATTTTAGATTTTCTCCTGAAATCAAAATAAATTAGCAGTTCCCATTAATTCAAATGTGAAGACTCGGGGCTTGAAAAATATCTGACAATTAATAATGACTCTTTAGTTGCAGGGACAATAAATGATCAGGAAATTTGAAACACTGAACAACCACCTGAAGGCGAATACCTATTAGATGGCCCACTTTCTTTCATTGAGCATTTTTTTTCATTTAGTAACTTTTGGTTTTGAAATTTTTTTAAGCTTAGGACATTTGATAGCATGTGTAAGAATAATACTTAGAGTTAACGAGAATGCGTTATATTATAAAAGTAATAAATTGTTTTACGTTCTTCATTAAATGTTTTCTTTTATCTCTCATTTGTTATCTGTATTTTTTTCCCTATCGTTGGAAGGAAGTATTAAGATTTAAGGAATAAATAAAGTAATATATGTGATTCTTTTCCCTCTTATTAAAGTATCTAAGTGAGAAAATTATGAAGACTGCAATTTTCGTATTACTGAAATCCCATAAATGACTTAAACATCTGTTTTATATAGTTTAATATTTTAGTAACTGGGTAACGAATTATCAAAACGTAACTGGTAACACGCAACAAAAATAAGGATAAATTAGAAACTTTAACTGTACACTTTATAAGGTACTTCTCCCGCCTTCTAATCATGCTTTCGTGGTGTGGTGGTCTGTGCGCTGGACGCGGATTCCAGAGTTCCGTGGTTCAATTCCCGAAGAAGAAGTTGCTCATTTTTCATCACTCCTGCTTCCAAAAAATACCTAATGTCTCTACAACTTAAGCTGGCTATATAATGATTGCGTAACTGAGAACGATTCGCAGACACACATCAGGAGTAATAGTTGTTTGCTAAATCAGAATGGAACATGTTATAGCTTAGGTATAAATGTAGCAACCATTTTCATTAATCCTTAAGTTTAGATTCAGATTGTGAGCTTGAACACAATGGATGGCAACTTTGGAGATAACTGATAAATTAATGCATCTAGAATTAGCTTCAAAAACTTTTATTGTAAAAATAGGATGTTTTAAAGATTATTCCATGTACTATAAGGAAACACCTGCGTACAAACGTAGTTAAACTGTTAGTGAAACTAACCATGCAATTTGAATTTATAATGTTATTTGTTTTTGTTCCGATTTTTTTCCTAACTTTATTAAGTAACACGAAAACGGAAGCATGATATTGATATTAATTCAATTTTAAGAATATAAACTTAAAATTTTGCACTTTAAACGGACATCCAAGATGAAGTTTTACAGCAGTGGTCTTCAAAATGTATTCTGCAGCCGTATGCGTACTCAAGCAACTTTTCTAGGAGTTCCACGGGTCAAAATCAAAATTCAAAGGAATTTTTGAATAACGCTTAATATTGATTATAAAACAACTCGTAAAATTAACCAATTATTAACCAATTAAATATTTTTTTTTCTTCTGTCATCAGTGTTACCTAAAATAATGGAAACTAAAGCTGTTTTTATGAGTAAAACTGTGAAGTAATGATCTTTTCCTTTTTCACATGGCCCACCAGCGGCCGAGCGGAATGACGCTGAACACTGGTAGTTTGGTCCGAGGTTCGAATCACGCGAACGGGCTGGCTGCATGGGCGTTTTCGGGGTTTTCCCTATGTGTAACGTGTATACGAGCCAGTTTCCCTTAGAAAGTCCTCCACGAAGGCACCCCTCCCTTTAGGCAGATAACCCTCGTGTGCTTTGCCATAATTAAATAATCCAATCCAATTCTTTTTCACATAAAATACAAGCAATACTGATGCATTTTCATGTTTCCTAGCAGCTATTTTTTGTAATGAGCATAATGGTTTCATAAAAAAAAATATGATAGTTTTAGGAATTCCTAAAAAATAGCATAGCTTTAGAAGTTCGTCAAGTCGACCTTGTTTAAAAATCACTGTTCTGATAAAAATGCTTCATAAAATATTGAGGATAAAGAAAGTAATCATATTAGTCTAAATGGTGATAGAGATTTGAAAGAATGCTATAAAAAGTTATAAAAATGAAGGTTATTAGGAACCGAGAAACACAAAAAAATTATGTTGATGTTTTTTTATTGTATTTGAAATGATCAAAATTATCTAAATGATATTGTTACGAAATGTACAGGTGAGATAGCTTCCCCGCAAAGTAGTTTTAGGGTTGCCATAAAATGGCAAAGGAAGGCATGGTTGCCAGATTTGGCGACAAAATTGGCGATATACCATGGACGGATGGAGAACCTTTTGGAACGAATTCTTACCGGTTTAGCCCAGAATGTTCTCGAACACAAGCCGAAAGCTATATAAATCCTGCTGGTCCACAGTCAGTGTGTGTGCCTCGTCTAGCGAGCTGATAGTCAGTCATTGAGCGAGTGTCTCGAAGTCTAGCGCCGAGTTGGTCGTCGAGTGCTTCGAGAGACTCTAGTGCATCGCGAATTAGTGCATCGTCGAGTTTTGTCTTAGACTGTGCTAAGTCGAGAGTTATACTCTTGTGTATCGTCGAGTGCATCGCTTGGAGAGTCTCGAGAGTACGTGGAGTTCCGAGAACGACTGAACCGAAGAGTTGGAAGCTGTACTCGGGTGCACAAGAGTCAGCGTGTTTATAACAGGCGTAAGTGCGAAGAATGTGATATTTAATAAATAAAGTTAACACACAAAACGTTATTAATAAAAAAGCAAAAAAAAAAAAAAGTTTTGCAAATCGTCTTACTAAGGAAACTGAATAATGTAATTATAAACTTAGAAAAGACTAAAAAAAAAAAAAAATAGAAAAAGGTATGCCAATGCTTAATACTGCACTGGATATTCTAAATATATGCTGCTTTTTAATTTTTTGAAATTTTGCTGTTGAACTGTATATCTCGTAAGTGCAATGGTGCTTAATAATAAAGGTAAAAAGACAAAAAGAAATGGGTTAGCACGAGTGAGTGTAATAGCAGACTAGTAGACTGCGAACTTAGCGAGAGCATAAAAAAAATCTTAATAAATCCTTTTGGGCGATTGTTAGTATCTGAACCTTTCAGTTTTTTTATTATTATTATTTTCTTTATTTCTTGTTTAAAAAATAATTTTCGACAAGTAACGAAATCTAACTTTTAATGCGGTCTCCCGGTTCCTATACTAATATTTGGGAAAGTTTTATACTCGTTATAAAAACAAATTGTAAGAAGCTTGACTTCCTTGCGATAAAACAAGACCAGGATATTTAATTTCAAAAATCTGCAATCCTTAATATCATTTCAGCTTGCTTAGAAAGATCAATTAAGCTGGAAAAATTCGAGGAAATAAGTTTAAATAAAATGCAGCAAAAAAATGTGCGTAACTTATAGGTCGTAGAAGGGAATCATATAGTATACACATCAGAGTTTTATAAAAAAAATATATACACATACAATGCGCATGAAAATTGATAATTTGGATCATCCGTGACCTGCTATCTCAGTATTAGCCTGGATAATCCAGAGCATACTGTAGTAGCATGATCGGTTTGGCATCTGAAGTTGACATTGCAAACATTTCTTTTTCAAAACGGAAGAAAACAAAGATCTTTATGAACATCTTTTCCTGCAGTCTGAAGCATAAAAGTAAAACAAGCCTAAAATTTCACTCGGATACTGAGTTATTATACAGGCATAAGCTATCTTGGGTAGCTCTTTCCTGTAACCTCATACTATAGTCCCATAGTCCTAGTGTGGGGAGTGACGAAAGTGATGAGTCCTTATTTGCACTCTTAAGAAGTGTTTCGCGAAATTATTTTAAAAACACTTTTCGCAGTCGTTGCCTTTTTTATAAAATTATACAGATGTAGTGGTATTTATAAGTGGGATTCAATATTCGCATTAAAACTATTATGCTTATATGTGTTTTTTCTTAATAAATGTAATTTTATCAGACACAATAGTATATGATGTATATTATGTTGGCTAATATATATTATTTCTCATACGCAACTATTGGCATAATTTTTGTACTGAGCGATCCGTAATATTTCTTTGCTAAGCCACTCAGTCGGGAACTTCCAGAAGTTTGAGCAGCTATAATTATGGAGTGTTTGAAGTTATGCTGCTTCTCTTAATATTACTTGGAAAATCAGCATTATTTTTTAATTTACCATTAGACAAAACACAGCCTTATATTGTTATAAAATATAAATATCAATCATAAGTTGAATTTTCAGTACAAAGGGGCAATTTGCCCAGGGCTGTTAATTTCGTTTTGGCATTTTGCGTCGATTCACGGTAAGCGTTGTTTCACTTTTCAAATTGCTGCCACCAAATATTATAGCCCTATATTATGTATTATATTTAAAGAAATTAATGAAGAATCTGCATGAATGTATGTATGTTTCTCGCACTGTGATAAAAAAACGGCAACTAGAGCCATCAAAATTTGAATAACGTAATCTTCCATAGAATATGGGTATATAAAAGTCCTAATTCGAATTTGAAATTTGTTTTATTATCGATTTCCTATTTTGTAACACTTCAACTAGTTTTTGATTAAAAAAACTAAACTATTTCAAAGAGAGCAATGGCAACACTGTACGGGGAGGGGGGGATTGTTTTATCTCCAGCGCGCAAGACAGAATTCTAAAGATATGCTCATTTTAAAATTATTTTGCCATATTGTTGTTGAACTGAATTTTATGGTTTGAGCACGTGGAACATGATATTTAATAAATAAAGGTAACACACAAAAAGTTAAAATTACCCTTTGGATGTAATTTAAAATCTGAAACGTTTCAGACTTTTTTTTTTATTAATTTAGATTTAAGTTTGAAAATCATTAGTTGATAAATGATTTAGCTGAAAATCTTCCTCTTTTCAATTTGCAAGTTGCCATTCGTTTATCAGAAATGTTGTTGTAATACAGTTTCATTATATCTGAGAAATGTTCTTTGTGTTATTATGTAATTTATATATCATATTTAATATTTCCAATAATCAGAAACAAGCTTGTGATTTCATTATATTTTATTCTAATAAAATTTCTTCCGGTTGGCATCACTTATCACTGGAACTTCAATCAAAATACAAAACGATCCAACTAAATTTAGTTGGTGTGAGTGATTGAAGTTGCCTTTTAATACTGCTATTTAGTTTGAATTTGAACGCGAGGTAGGTTACTATTAAATTCCCTAAAAGTCGATTTCTAAATTTTGTAAAAATATCGAAATTTATAACTAGTTTTCATAAACATTTCTAAATTTAAAATTTTTAAATTTTCAGCTATTATGGATATCATATTTTATTGGTAAGTTTAAATGTTTGTATAAATCTGAAATTCTGAGCTATTGCTCAGTTATAAATTCAAAATTAATAATATAAGATATATAGTGAAAAGTTTACCATATTTCTTGAAAGTAAACTGTAGACGAAAAAGAAAGAAATGAAACATTTTGGAGTGTGCAGTAAAATATTTATATATTTTAATTTTGTCATTCATAGTTTCCACAACTGATTTCCTTCAAAAGATTGTGCCTCTCTTCATCCCCTAAAATGCAATCTTCTAGTTTTAATTTTCAAAGTTTTTAACAGAATATAACAGCTGTCATGATTTAAAAAACTAATAATGCAAGCTTTAATTGGGTTTTCAAATAAAAAGCAAATTAGCCCTCTTTGTGTGAAGCAAGAAGTTTGTATTAAATTAAATCTAAGTTTTGCTTGACCAAAAGAATCCATTGCTGAGCAGGAAAACCTTAAAAATCTTACGTTTCTTTTTCTATGCTAAGTGTCTTAAAATTCAAAAACCTTTTACTTTTCTCTACTTTTAACTGTAAAAATGTGAAAACATCCTATATATTTAAATTATAATCACTTGTATTTTACTTACAGTAAGGAAAACAGTTAATCATTACCACTTTAGTAAACATAATAGCCAGTTTTTAAAAGCTCATTTCCCAATATTGTAAACTTGTACTACGAACGACAATCTTTGCTTGCTTTTTCATTCCCCGACTTAGGTAGTTCCTCGTTAAAGCGGCTTTGGTAGCCAAAATTACTATAATTTTTTTGCCTTCTTGAATAAGATCAACCAACACGGTCACGTCCTTGGGTCCTTGGCTCGTAAAGTCCAGTTTTCCATAAGTGCGATATGTACATGTCTCTTACATGACTCTGTAGTCGGCGAATAAAATGACTTTAAATCAAAGAATTTGAAATGGGAATCTCCTTCATATTCTTTGCTTTGAATGACATCTATGATGCAGTGACGTACTGTCTCCAACGTCGGAAAAAAGACAGGTTTGACCCTGAAAGAAAACTTCATTTCTTCTGACCTTGGTATAAGCCTTTGGTGACATATAAAATCATCAAGTTACTGAATGGGCGATTACGTTCGTCAGTTTTGACATCTAAGAGTGGTTTTTATTTGTGCTGCATGTTATAGTACATTGCAGTTTGATTGATTAACATTCAGTTCTGTACGAGTTTTGTCTTTCTATAGACAATTTTAAAATCTATAAGTAGTGAAATATGGTACTTCACTTTATTGCTAAAATAGGCCAGCAGCAGCCGAGGGGTAAGGTCACTGAACAGTGGTAATTTGATCCGAAGTTCCAATCCCAGGGAACGGGTTAGCTGCTCGGGTGTTTTTGTAATTTCCCCATGTACGTGGAAAAGTCTTCCATGGGGCATCCCTCGCTTTGCAGATACTATTATGTGCCTCGCTGTAATCAATTAAAAGATTTACTAGGAAAAGAAACTTTCAGTATTGAATAGATTTGCCAATAATCATCAAATCCAGCCTCATGTTTCCAGTTAAGATTTTAATTTCTACTAAGAGATTTGGTGTCAAATTGGATTAAAGTATTTGCCTTCTTCTTTATTAAAGCAGTAAATTTTTAAATCGCCCTTTAAGTCCAAGTAATAAAATATTCTAGTTAAAAGAAATAGAAATAATCGTATGCTCAAAAGTAAAAGCATGCAAGCAGTCTTATTTGGGATTGGAAGCAAACGCAGGTTTGCTGGCCATCCGAAAGGCAACACCATGAAGGAAGCATCCGAATAGAAGAAGACTTGCGTCATGTGTATATCCCTGCGATGAAATATACAAATGATAACGATTTCAGCGCACGCGCACATCATGGACAATTGAAGCCCTTCTTACAATCCGTATATAACCGCAGGAATGATTGCCGTTTTGAATAACGTGAATTAGTCTTTCTCAGCTATCTTGTGTGTGCAACTTCAGTATGCTTCGTAGAAAAACAAGAACATCTTTCGAACACATTTCTGAGCTCGACCAACGCATAGTCGTTGCAGAGAGAGATTGTGGATTATCCTTCTGAGAAATCGATCATCGTGTCGAACGTAACCAAGCAACAGTTATGCGAATATGGAATCTGTGGATGATTTGGTTTGGTTTATTTAATTAATGGCAAAGCACTCGAGAACTATCTGCCTAACGGGAGGGATGCCTTCTTGGAGGATGTTTTAAGGGAAACTGGAGGGGGTATATACGTTACGCGTGTGGAAAACCAAGGAAACGCCCATGCAGACAGCTCTTTCGCTGGAATTCGAACCCGGACCGAACTACTCGTGTTCAGGGACTTTACCGCTCAGCCGCTGCTGGGCGGAATCTGTGAATGCATAAAGTCCCTATCACATATGCTTCCGCTACGCGGGAGTATACTTCGAAAGGGACATTTCTCAGAACTCACACATTTCCAGGAGACCCACGTAGCTAGGTTACCATTTTCAGTTACTACAAAAACTTGAACGCTAAACAATAATTGATTATCGCTCAGATTGCGATAGCGTGATCCTTCAGAAACGGCTTTCAGCGGTGCTTTTTCTTATAAGAATCCTCCCGTTTCAACCAATTCTATCAGAATCTCGTTTCTCAGAAAAGTACCATCTAGCAGGGACCATCGCTAGATGTGATAACCCCTAAAGAGACGACTGACGGACAAGGAGTCATTACAACTTTCTCGAAGCACCACTCCGCGGGACACAGGATTATTGTGTGCATGCCACTGATGGAGCTCGCTGCCACACCGCAGCTATATCACAACGAATGCAGTCTGTACTGCAACAGTCTGTGTCTAGGCGTCCGTTGCTTCGCTTACCTTTGCGTTTGCAGTGGGGCACTGAATGGCTGAGATGAACATCTGAATGATATGACATTGTGTTTTCGGATGAATGAAGCTTCTGCCAACAGTACATGATGGCCAGATTAAAGTTCGGAGGCTTGCCTGTGGCCACATTTCAACAGGACAATGCACGATCAATCGTTTTGCACAGTATTTAAGCTGTCTTTTTAACGAACCATATTGCATGATACCCTGACCTGCCGGTTCTTCAGATCTAACGCCCATGAGCATGTTCAGCCAATGACTGGAGAAAGCCTAGCGCAGCTTGTGGATCCCACAAGTTATTGATTATTATTGCATGTTATTATCGATCCCGCACATTTTGTCTTCGTGTAGCATGGGCTATCATTCTCCAACGACACATCTAAATTCTCTTTCACTCTATGTCGCGGCATGTAGCGACGATTATTGACAAACATGGAAGGAACTCTCATTATTGATTTTTCTCGTATTCCTCACCTCAAAATAGGCTGTATTTCAAAATAGCTATCATTGATACGTATAATCTCTGAAATAAATTTGGTTTTGGTATCTCTTGTGCTTTTTCATGCTGCATTTTGGATCCCCAGTAGTGTAGAACGTAACAACAATCTCTCTCTCTCTCTCTCTCTCTCTCTCTCTCTCTCTCTCTATATATATATATATATATATATATATATATATATATATATATACTTTTCGTGTTCTTATTTATACATAAATTACAGAGTTTTAGCACCACTTAACAAAGAGCAAGAAACTACCAGACAAACTCTTTAGCAAATCATTTGAAAGCCTTTCTGAAGTTGTTTTATTGATGAGAATTACATTATGTTCTTATACAGAATAACTCTAAATCATTTATGAAAGGATTTCCAAAATTTAAACTTATAAATATTTTTCATGGGTTTAGAAAATTTTAAAAAATTCTAATTTTACTTAAGATCATTCACCAGAAAAGAAGTAATATGTAATATATTTAAAGATCTTCACCATTTCCCTGATTTGAACTTAAACCCAGTTAACATACAGAATTGGCATGTACTCTTCTTGTAAGCTACCTATCAATAATCGATTATCTCTGATATCTTGCAGATATTTTGGGAAATTTCTATTTTACAAAAGACTCAAGTGACTTGTCTACCTTTAATCTTGACAAGGATCGAGCCGCAGGATATTTTAAGAAATTATCGTTTTTTATTGTGTTTTTGCATTAACCGACACAATATTTTATCTCTACATTCTCGAATAACTCATTTCAAAATCTACCAACCATATCTAATTAATCCACTAATAGTATATAGAGGCGAAATGCGGTACTTGTCTTTTGTCATGCTAAATGCAGTCTTGTTGAGATTGTCCTGCCGCATTTTCGCATTAGCGGAAAACAAATTTTTATCGATTTGCGCATGTACGAGAAGCAAACTGTTAACGATTTAAACTGATTCTTCACAATTGCTTTGTGTCAGTACAGCGGTTTTTCATTGTAAAATATTGGTCAATGGAGGCATTTCGTGATTTCATTTGGAGGTACGAGTTCGGAATCAGAATTTGACCACAATGAGGAATGAGTTCAATGTTTGTAAGCGCGTTCGCGTATGTGTATGTTGGGAGGGGCGAGGGGTTTCAAAAGGGAAAATAATAGCTAATATAGTATTCTCTAGCAGTGGTTTTAGCCCTCTAAATTCCAGCAAAAGTTTCGTGGATTACCAAGTTGTTATTTATGTAACATAAAACTACACCCAGTTGCTCATAATCGGAAATATCTTGAGTTTCGTCAACCATTACAGAGAAATAACACGACTCTTTTATTTTATTTTGAATATAGTTACAGATTTGAGATTTGCATAAATTAATAATATAATTTTCATGATTCCTTGTGTACATAATTATAGGATTTCTATTTATTTTTTTAAAAAATTTTAATTAATGGGCTGTCTTTAGCTTTTAAATCCATTAATTCCAAAAAAAAATTGCCTCTATTGTCAAAACTTATTTTTTCATCATGTCCTCTCAAAGCAATTCCTTGACCTGCACAAAAAAAAATGAGTTTCACAGAATTTTTCCAAATATTTGCGGTTTTCATCAGCTTGTTTTGAATACAGCTTATCAAGCTTAGTACATATGGAACGCGATGATAAACTTTCCGTAAAACTTACCAAACAACATTTTGAGTTTTTAAGAGAATCGTAGGATTCATGAGATTTAAATTTCTGAACTACCTTCGACCAGTTACTAAACCCTTTAATTGTAAATGTAGATTCAGTATATCCTTTATTAGAACCTGAAAACGCTCTGCACCAAAAACAAAACAATTTATTTGCTGAAGGACTATATTCTAACCATGTGCACGCATTATACCACTCTTCTCTAAACTTACGATTTCTTTTATCGAATGGGAAAATAGAAAGTTCAGGTTGATAAGGACCTAAAGTTGCCTTTCTATTGGCACTTTAAGGACTATTAGCAGGGTCGCCTTCATGAATTGCAGGAAAAATTATAGAACTTGCTTGATAATCTTGAGATGCCACAATTTTTAATTCATTATCATCCGTCCTCTCTTGATTGAACTCCTTGTGGATTTCCTCCAAAGATTCATTAATATTTAACATTAATATTCATATTTATATTAAAGATCACATTAATATTTTCAACTATATTAAGAGTTTATGTGAAAATGTCCCGAGTTGTCAAACGACGCTAGTTAGAGCTCATGACTGATGAAGTTAAAGAAAGAAAGCACTTTTTAAGAGAAAGGGATCATTGCAGCAAAATAATATTCGGCAGCAGCTTTTCTTAGCAATGGGGAAAGGAATTCGTTCCCAGCCCAATAAGGGTCAAGAGCCAGTTGCGCCCTTCCGTACTAGTAGCTTGGTGACTTCGCGCACTGGGGTGTCACTGCTAATAATGAAAGAAGATTTCTCCTTAGGATGCTATCTCAGGCAGTTGTGCATTCCTAAACTGGTCAAAAAGAGTAATAAGCCAAGAAGAATAGTTATTGTGAGTGAAGGAAGGGTGCCAGGGGAATTCTGGATAGGCTGTTGCGGTATTCTAGCAATTACGTCGTATTAAGTCGTTATGCTGTTGAAAAGGATGGCAGGGTGGCTGAACCCTTTTTGACATTTTTTATTCAAATATACAACCATTTTTCAAACTGGAAACGAAAAATAAAAAGAATTGAAATATGAAAATCATTTTTTCATCTTCTATTTCAAATCAATCATTTCTTCATTCTACGCACCCCAAAATTTGCCGCCTATGATATTGGTTATGCGTACTATTTCGGCACGGAATCAGAAATTTTTAAGTATTAAATTTATTACAATATAAAATTTTGTCAGCAATTTAATAAAAAAATAACATACATACTGGAATATTCATTATTTACAAGCATTTTAGGCGGCCATAGTTCATGAATTGCTCCTAATAATACTTCAAATAGATAATCACACCCTACTTGGTGCTTAAATATGAACTCTGCTAGATAGGACTTCTAGTGATGGCGACCCCCCCCCATGCTTTTTGTTCCGCCTTTTCGCAGAATCCCTCAAGCGGAATTCCAGCTGTAGAATTTATAAAGTTATACTTATGGTTTACCGTAAACTGATTGGAAACCAGTTTTTTCGAGTTCTTCGGTTTTATAACCGTTCTAGCAATCTTTATCTACCAATGATTCCTCACTTACGTTTGCTATATGGTACTTTTACTAAGAAGCACTCATTTGTTGCAAATGCCATTTAAAATACACTGCTGTGGATTTTAACTATTTTTCCTTCCATGGAAAGTATTTGTCCACTTCCAAGATTTTACCGGTTTTTTTGCATTTTCTTGTCTGAATGTTTTGTCAGAAATTCCGATCAGACTACCCTCATGTAATTACTCCAGTCAACGACTGCTGTTTTCCCATGTTTAATTGCTTATCGTACAATCTAAATTGAGTGAGTTCCTCTCTCTAAAAATAAATAAACTGAGCCCTATAAGAAAGGAAAATTGTAATCCACTAAACTAATTCCCAGCATGAAGATCTTTCTTCTTTTCACAGCTGCTAACATTGCATAGCCAAATGATATGTGTTCGTACATATAATGGCATATTATGGACATTTTCACAAATTCTTTTCTTCGTAAAATACCTTTTTCTTGTAAAAAAATAGAAAATAATGGACATTGTAAATATTTATAATGCAAAACGGCCATAATATAAGAGCAAAATATTTCAGTAGCCGAAAAAATGTGAACTACGATCACGCACGAAAAACTGTTAAACCACCATATTTTAAAAGCTAAAATCTTCATCAGCCATAAAAACTAACCTATACTACGAGCACGCATCAAAGACCGTTACATTTTTAAAAAAGAATGGCAAAAGGACATAACCATATAGTATACAGAGAACGGTAACCACACATGTTTGTTTTTCGCTAACGCAGAAACGCGCCAAATCAAAATTCTTGTCAAAGCCGCTGTAGAAGGCAAGTATCCCTAATGCTATATACCAGCGGTTTTGAACCTTTTGACTAACGTGTATCATCTAAAAAAAATTTAAAACTTTTGTACCACCACTACATTTTACAATCATTATTTTTCAATTTCTCAATAGCAATGTTAAAAAAATATATACTTTGCTATTTGCACAAACTATTGGCTATTTGTATTAAATATGCACACATAAAAAAATATTAAATTAAAAATTGGTTACCATTTTAGCTATCAGAATTTAAGTTATAATGTTTTAATTATAAATTTAGTACGAAATTTAGGCCTGTTTAAGAGATATCAACTTCTTTATCTGGTCTTATTTAACTTAGTTTTAACTCTAAGTTAGAATCCGCTTTTAATTTATTCTGTATTTATTTTTAAAATATAACATGGAAGAAAATCTTTGTTCACACAAATAGGTTGTACAAAATAACAAAATGCAAAAAGGCAATAAAAATATAATTGTTTTATTTGAGATGCCTTTAAATTCTTTTTTCGGTATATCCAAAAGTTAACGAGTGGGTTATTTTGAAATCTTCAGTTAGAATTCGATGACAAGAAATTTCTATCAACTGTTCTTTTTCTTCACGAGATTTTTTAATTTAATAGTTAAAAATACTTTATTTCTTTGCGTACTACCGGTTGAGAATCACTGCTATATACATCCCACACTGCAGTCCTAAAACGTTTGAATGAAACTTTTGAAATGCAACATTTTCGTTGCGGGAATGACGTATCAGCACCATTCTTTCTCAAATAAGAATACAAATAGAGCATAGCAAAATTTGGAAAGTAACAATTGGTAGCCCAAAACTTATGAGAGATTCAATAAAGAAAGATATAAATTAGAATTGCAGAATTACTATATTAACTGGAAGTTAGAGTTAGTTTCATTTGAGAAAACTTTTTGACGCTGCAGAAAATTATTGTTCAAAGGAGACTGAACAAAACCATGTTACAAATAATCAGCAGTGTACTGACTGCATTTTTGTCTTAGGCTCACACATAGTAATAATTGAAGCAGAACAAAAGGACTAAGGATATTTGTATTTAAAAATAAAATCGGAATCGTTTTTATTCTGAGAACATTCAAACGGAAAGTTTTTCAAAGCAATTTATTTAACTGCTTTTTTATTATATGAATACTCATACCAATTTTTCGAGTAGAAAGCTCTATCCAAAATGCTTGGGTTTTTTAAAACATCAAAATGTCAGTTTTTTGTTAAAATTATAAAAGGAATTAATAGTATCTTTCTTTCTAGATTATAATTTTTCATAAACAAGTTTAAATATAAATCGGAAGAAATATTGTTTTAATTATTATTTACACTATTTTTAGCCGAATACGCAGTGCTTCAAAATCGTAATTTTTTTCGTTCCAGTTCAATCTAAAAAAAAAATATATTGGTTCAGTTCCGATTTTCGTTCCGTCAAAAATAACGGTTTTCGGTTCAGTTACGAATGAATAATTTTATTTTATGTATATTCTTATTTGTACTAAAAGTATAATTCATAAACAAAAAATGTAATTCTATCAAAATTTAGAAGGTTTTATTCTTGTTTATTGATACACTATGTGAATTGATACAATTAACCAGCATGTACGATGCGAGCGGTAAGGAGAGAACGGCAAGCATTGGCATTGTTATCCGTTATCAAAAAAAAATTGTATTTGACAATTAGGTTTATGATTATGTCGATTATGTGCTTCCTTATCGCTTAACCCTTACCCCTCACATCTTGCACTTGGCCTTGTAATAATAATATAAAAGAATTATTTATATATGTAACATATGAAAATTGCCTCTAATTATTAATATATCTTCTAACGTGGTAACGTGGTCTCTCTGAGGTTACTTCCGTTGTCCTGTAAAATAAATCTGGGTCACCTGTATAGGAATATTCCCTCATTCACTAACATACACCCAAACCGTTTTTACACGGTGTAAAAATACTCAGTTTATATTGTATATAGTAGAAAATGTTTTACACTCGTGGTCCGTCCAAGATTTCGTTCGTGTAGAATATGTCAGATTTCAACCTATTAGCAGAAAATAATTTTCGAAATTTCTGATATGCTGGCATGTAAGTCTTAATTTTAGGGTAATCTCCCATTTGATAGTTTCTTAAACTGCGCTTCTCAAAAAAAAAAATTGTATTTAGCGATATTCTAAACCATAATCGAGTAAAAGTAAGCATTGAAAAAAGGAGGTTTTGGTATAGTTTATTATTTTATTCATTTAGTATGCTATCGAACAAATCATAGAAAAGATTTAAAATAAATACTGTAAAAATGTGCTATCAGTATACTGAACAAATAGATTTTAAAAATTAATACTCAGGTACTTACTATGTTATCAGTAATTCAATATCAGAAGAGAGAGCCGTATGAGGACTTGAGAAAAAGGTGGCCGCCACGGGTGCAACTGAGTTTGGGGCGCAAAACAAAGAATAGAGAGGCGGTTTAGAATTACACGTGATTTTTAATTCATTCTTTATTTGATTATTTACTTCTAGTTGACTATCGTACTTACTATTCATAAATTAACACCGATTGTTACAAGCCTTTTTACGTCTCCTGACCAATTAGACAGAGACACGTATTATTACGCGTACATCAACAATCCTTTTCTTTCTTAGGGCGGCGACGCACTGGATACTTCCAGCTGAGCAGCTGGTTTGTCTATCTAAGCAATCTATACAAACATCCATGGTTGATCGCATGCTGAGATGCGAAAAGTATAACTCAGACTGTTATTTTTTCTTAAAAAATCAACTCTAGTTCATTCAACTGAATTTAAATCTGTCTTCTACAAGTAGTTTGATGCGAAACTGAAACAGAGAAGTACTAGTGAACATCAAAACAGGAAATCCAAAATCAATGTACATGTAATGATGATAATTATATGGTTGACGTTAAATTAGAAAATATTGATTAGTTTTTTAATGTAACAAAATGACTGAAGGTATATCGAACCGAAATAAACTGATATTTTTTTCGGTTCAGATCCGGTTTTCGTTCCGAACAATATAACTGTTTTTTTCCTGTTTTCAATTTTCGGTTCAGTTCCGGTTCGAAGACCTGCAAATACGTTAGTCGAATACAGTTAACTTCATCTCCGAAAATGGGTGTTCCGTACACCTATGACCAATTAAAAAAATGTGCATTGTCGTTTGCTCAAACACTTCTTCAATATGAATTATTTCAAGCCTATTTGGAAACTTTTCTTGCTGTCCACCGCTATTTTCAACTGAAAAGAAAACTCTAGTTTTTTTCACAAGAAAAATGAATTTTACCACTTATAAATCTCCCTATGGATAGAGAGCTGATTCAGCTAATTATGTCTTTTATCACTACTAGAAAATTCGCTGTGGCTATTGGAAAGGACTTCTCCAGTTTACGCACCATGAATTCAGGCGTCCCACAGGGCTCCATTTTAAGGACCGTCCTGTATTTATTTTATGTTCATGACTTCCCTAGGTCTCATATTGACAGAAATCACTTTCTTGGGAGCTATGCGGACGATACGGCATTAGCTGTGAAGTCCGCAAACGCACACCATGCAATCAAAAAGTTACAGGAGCTTCTGCCAAAGGCAAAAAAAGTGGTGTACGACGTGGAAGATTGCTATTAATGCCAGCAAGTCGCAGTTATTAATGATAAGGAGGGAAAATACACAGTTGAATATTAATAGCAAGCTCTTCTTGTTCTCTAAAGAGATTCCTAGAGTCAGTAAGGCGAAATATTTAGGAGTAATGCTAAATGAAAGATTAAAATGGGGAGATCATACTACAGAGGTCAGAAGAAAAGTTTTCACTGTTGTAAATAGTCTCACCCCTATATTGGGTAATTATTCTAGCTTAGACCTCAGGAAAAAGAGGCTAGTATATATCACGACAATTAGGCCATTGATGCCGTGCACCAGGCGTCGTAGGCCTGGTGCACGGCTACAAAGGAGGACATAAAAAGACTTCGAATTATGCAAAACAAAGTCTTAAGGCTTATCACCCATGCTTGCTTTTTTGTGAACAATGCTACGCTGCACTGTGACTTAAAATTGGACACTATAGAAGAGCACCTGAATAAGATTAACAGGAAATTCTTCACGAAAGCTATGAAATGTGACCATATGCGTAATTTTGATATCTTTACCTACGAAACATTGAATGAGGACTCCAAACTGCGCCCATTTGCGGCCCACCTTATCAGGGACCCACACTTTCCCACCTAGTGCCCACTTGTAAATAATGTAGATGTGTTTATTAGCATTCTTAATTTTGTATTTTACTCATTTACTGTACTGTGTATTTCTTGATAACTTCCTATTGGTTCCAGTAGTTTTATTCACTCTATTACTCTCATTTTATGACTCCCACTTAGTCACGCCTTTACTGGGCCTGTTACTTGTTAGTGAGCTCTTGCGTTGCTGGTCTTCCTACCCTTTATCCGTCTTTGCTCCTCCTTACGGTGGACATTATGTGAAGATAGTTCTATGTTATTGCGCCCATCTGGCATAAATTTGATTGAGCCAGATAAACTACTGATCGCAGTGGTATTCTGGCTATAAGTTATCAGTCAGTCAGTCAGTCAAGGCATTTTACCAAAAGAAAGAATTGAAATGGGCATAATATACAATTATATGTTGGAAAAGGTATCGTTTGGCGATGCAGCGCTAGCAGCTGTAAAAAGAAAAAGTGTCTTCGTGCTGAGAATTGGTTTAGTGGATCACAGTTTGCCTTTCTCAATGTTGCACACTCTACTGGAACCAATAGGGAGTTATAAATGCGTCGTAATCAACTCACAAAAGAACGTTTAAAGAACATTTTTAATGTAGTCTGAAGCTAAACATAACGTCACAACTTGTGCTACAGGTGAAATTTCCATCACTTGTAGATGTTCAACATAACATAACAAATATTTAAATTCAAACGCTGATAATGTAGCCTAGGATCATACATAAAATGGAATAAACTGGCTCAAATTATTTTAACGAGGCGCATTTAAAATATCGTCTAAAAAGAATGGTAAAGCCGGAATATCACTTTTAAGCAGAGTTGCCAAAAAACATACTGCTCGCGAAATACGATTGCCAGAAGCTGTCTAAATTAACGATTCAAAACCCTTAGCTTAAATATCTACAAAGCAATTTTTATTTTCTTGAGGACTATGGAAAGGAGAAGTTATAATAAAGACTTAAATCATAATAACTGGTTAATTAATTTAATGTACAAGGTAAGTAAGAGTCCCGAAAATTCGACTTCCGATATCTCGACAACGTTTTAGGAACTCTTTTAAGATATCTCTAGACCAAACAGAGCAAATGTTAATACATGCAATACACATAATTATTATTTATGCGATTATCTTTCCTGTTCCGCTCAAGGATTTGTTCTTTTTCTGTAATTTTTGCCGTTTTCGCTCAGTGCCATTGACTTTTGGAACTGCCTAACAAATTTCGAGATATGTTGTAATACGAGTATTTGGCAACGCTTCTTTCTGTTTGCTTCTTTCGAGGATATGAAGAAGTCAGGTAGCATGTGGCCCGGTCGCGGACACTTAGCCGACGGGACACACTTAACCGACACCAGTTAGCCGACAGGACATTTAGCCGACACGGACACTTAACCGACAGGTCATTTAGCCGACACGGACACTTAGCCAACAGGGTCATTTAGCCGACAAGGACGCTTAGCTGACAGGGCATTTAGCCGACACGGACAGTTAGCCGTCAGAACATTTAGCTACGTTACACTTAACTGTCAAGACATTTAGTCAACACTAAGGCGACAGTGAAGTTTAGCTGACACGTACCCAATAATTATTCAAACTTACTATGGATTACAAAATTTCTCGATTTCTCCATAAGTTCAATATTTAAGTTATTTTTTTCACTATCAGTAAAATTCAGTTTTCATATAAGACTTTTTTAAATCGTGACACTTTGTTGCTAATAATTACACTGTGACGCATATCTGCTTGAGCATCCAAGCGATTTCTGAATTTTGTTTTGATTGAGAAAAGAGCACTAAATCCAGACTCACATAAGTGTGTCATCGCAAATGGATAGAGGATTAGTGGATTATTCAGTTATGGCAAAGCACACGAGGGCTATCTTCCTAAAGGGGAGGGATGCCTTCGGGGAGGACTTTCTAAGGGAAACTGGCGGCTCGTATACACGTTACACATGGGGAAAACCACGAAAACGCAATGCAGCCAGCCCGTTCACGGGATTCGAACCTCGGACCGAACTACCAGTGTTCAGCTTCTTTACCGCTCGGCTGCTGGTGGGCTCATCGCAAATGGTATGAGCTCTCTTAATGCCTCATCACTAAGATTTGGGAACATGTTCATTGCCGATCATCAATATTGTTCCAAAATATTGCTTTCAAGTTGTATTTCAAGAACACAATTTGTGCTCAGTTCTTAAAGTTCTTCCTTTAGTTCTGCAACATCTGGCATATTATCCAAACTGAAAGTGGCTTTGTAGTTAGAATATGAATTAAGTTTTCAGTTCCTTTCCTTTAAAATACCTTTGATAACATTCCTAGATGATCCTTAATTTTTTCACAGACTTCACATGCATGTCCCTCGTGTGCTTTGCCATAATTGAATAATTCTATCCAATCCACAAGACATTTCAGTGTCCTCAAATTTAAGGAAGTCTGTATACTGCAATATTCATGTAACATGCAAAAATACAATAAATGTTTATTTCGTTAGTTAAGAGTAGTAAAACATTACCAGCATGAAATAAAATAGCAATTAAGTGCATTGTACCTTTGCACAGTGTTTTTTCAACAGTGTAGATTTTTGCTTTTTCTCTCGTACATCGGAAAAAAAAGGATTCTGATATTTCTGTTTACACGTCAAGAGATAATAGAATAGCTGAAGGTCACTGCGCTTGCGTTATATTATGTACACTTTTAAAAGGTTAGCAGGAAAATGGAAATCATGTAAACATTAGAAATGCAATGAAACATTGTTTCCGCGCTGTCTGTTTATTTATCTTCGTGGCTGGAATTTTCGTGGATTGTTAGCATTGGAGATGTTTGGACTCGGGCTTTCTGTCTGTGATTTACTAGTCGTTTTAATATTTAAATTTTTCAAAACCAATTTTTAACAGCAAATATTGAATGAAAAGATACTTAGGCACGATTAAATTTCAAAAATGTTCTTACTATGTTTGAAAAATTCACAGATTCATTTTCAGCTAATAGATAAAGATTTTATCTTTCTTTTATAGGTCTACTCATCTTTACAGATTTTTTTCTACTATCTTAAAGACATACATTAAAGAAATGACTCCTACCTCTTACACTTGTTCTGAAAAGACACCCGACGCAATGGAAAAAACAGTCAAACTTAAATTCGCTTTTAAGATGACCAGCATGATTGTGAGAAAATTCCATACCTTGGCAATTAAGGACGATACTGAAGTAAGATGTACTTAAAACTTTGTGTTAAATGTTTTATCGAGTATTCCTGAAATAATAAAGAATAGCCAACAAAATTTAAATAAGCATGCTTGGACTTCGCATTTGTTTCGTATTTAGTAAGATAGTAATAAAATTTCTGATTTTGAGATTATTTTGGTTGAGTTAAAAATAACTTCACAGCAACTGTTTTTCAATAGCTTATTAAGTTATTTATATGCAACAGTACAAATACAAAAATCTTATAATTAATAAAATACAAAAGTAGTGTAATGAATAAAATCAGTTCATTGTTGAATTAGAAGTCTATTTGTTCAGCCGAATTTTTTTTTATTATAAACTCTCGTTCTTACACGGGGCGATCTTTCGTCTCCAGTGCTTTAAGAGAAACCATGTTAATATTATCCTTCATTCTAAGCCTCTCATTTACTTCACTCAGTTTAATTATATTAAACAAATTGAATATCTTTTATCAGACTGCGCTTAAAATTCAAGTCCAGTAACAAGAAATTTTAATACCCAAAAGTCAAAGGATGATTAATACATTCTTTGGTGACTTATTTTTCAAAGAAAATCAGTAACTAACAAATGCTACCTGGCTATTAGTATTTCACTAGATACAGAAACATTTGCTGACACGGGATACATATCATCGTCGCTATCTCCTTTTCAAGCCGATTGGTGCGTAAGGGGTTTAATCATGCCCACTTTGCCTTGCTGTTTAACGCAACTTTTCTAACTCTTGTTCCGGAGATATCATTCAGCTCTGTCCTGACCATTTTCTAGAATAAGTTAGCTTTGGTCTGCTTCATCCTCTCATTCGATCAGCAACTATATCAGTACCGATTTTTAATGATCTAGTACAGCGGTAGCCACAATGGCCTGAAATACGGCCGAGAGTGTTAGAGAGAGTGTAGCCCAGAAAAGTGAACGCGTGCTAGTCAGAATCTATGGTTCTCTAACGAAGTCGGTAATCCCTTCAACAGTATGTGAAAAAGCATCTTCTTGTGCAATGTTAGTGAACGTTTGTATGCCTCACGGTGTATTAATTGCTGAGCACTGCCCAATAATTAGTGCTACAACATCCGCGTGCTATTTTAATCAGTGTTTTTCATCTATATTCTTAGTGACGCAACAATAATCAACGTCTTACGCAATCTAACTGCACTCTTCTGCACGCATGAGTATTCAAGAATTCATCATTCATCATTCAAGACTTACCTGTATTTGTATACAACGAACTGCCCAACACTAACTTTGTGCTCCAGCCTTCCTGTGACTTCATGTACTCTATTTGCCTTTTGTGTCTTAAGTAATTATGTGTATGTACCTGTTTTATGTGTTCTCTGTTTATGCATTTTGCGCTTTGTGCATTATTTGCTTATGCGTATTTATGTGTTTTTATGTGTACATCTTATATTATTTTTAGTTTAACTACCTACTATCTGTAACACCTCAGCTTGCCTTTTCAATCTGTAATACAATCCTACTAATGCCCTTGTAAGACCATGTACTTCCCTTTGACAACCTCAATAATCTCCTGGTGCAGCCTCGTGGGGCTCCAGGGAGCTTTTGCAGTAGATAGAGGAGAGCGGGGAACACATGCCTGTTTACCTCTGTTAGACACCAGGCTTTCTAGTCCTCCGTAACCTACCTACCTAACGAAGTCAGTTCTAGAAACACACTCTGGCCGGAAATTTGTATGCTGAAATTAGAAGGGATAGGAAAGTAGCTTTAACTAAAGATAACTGTTAACAACTTAGGATAAACGTTACAGCTTTCCTGACCAGAATTTAAGTACTCGAAAAATAAGGTCTCAAAACGACCTTAAGATTTTAAATTCTAAAATCTTCTTAAGTTAAATGTAACACTTCCTAACACTTTGCATTATATAGTTTTTCACTTTAAACTTTTCTGTTTAGAGCCAACTTTACACACAATCTAAAGCTAGACTAAGACTAAGATAAAAAAAATTTTACAATTTTGACTAGGAACGAACATCTACTTCTTGCGTTGGATCCCGCTATTCCGTCTTAGTTCTTCCAAATTATCTGGAAGGAAACAGTACTAATTCATCTTTTACAAATATTTCCAGTTACCTTACCATTACTCTTTATTGACATCTTTTGGCTCTCACACAATTTTCATTCATTCATACTTAAACTTTTTTTCCAGTGTTCTTCAGAAATTTGTTCTTACTGTACTGAACGTAATATTGTTGTGTTACCGCGAACACACGCTAGCCCTAAACATCATCTAACCTTATTAAACTTGACTTTCTAGACCTTAGAAGACTCCCTACGCACAAAAACTATCCTAATGTGCTAAACGAGAGTTTGACTTAAACTTTTAAATGTTAGCTGGAGAGCCTAACGTTAAACACACATATTCTAATCGTTCAATTCTTACATATTTTCATTTGCACTTTGTCCAAAATTTACCTTTTGTACAAGTTTAAATATAAGGCACTTCAAAACTGACATTTAAAATTTCTACTTTCAGCACAAAATTTTAACATATTTATCACATAAGGATTTAAATTCATGGCTAATCTTTGGAATATGGTAACAGGTAGTTTGGCGACATTTTGGTAAGGCGATAAAGGTTACTAGCTAGGACTTTAACAGCGTACATGGATAAAGTCAAGAGTGTGCGCAATGTCATTTTTGGGCAATTCTGGGATGTTTTTTTAAGTGAAAATAGGTTGACGTGTATACATGGATGATACCGTGTATGTGCAATTCTTAAAAACGCGGCAAGCAGTGGGCGATTCTGCACTTTCTCCCAATTTCGCACCTAACCTTCGTCCTGATTAAGCACTTTTGTTCCATAAAAGTTCTAGCATAAGCGTAATTCGACTAGCTAGCAGACTGTTGGGAAAAAATGTTGAGTAAAAAAAAAAAAAAAAAATGCCTTTACTTCGTGAAAACAAAATGGCGTCAAAAAAAAACTAGCAGGTTGGTCGCCAAATTTTCGCCAAAAAATCGCCAAGTTACCATAATCCGAAGATTAACCAAATTCATTTTACATCATCGTTATAGTTGTTATATATAATTTATAATAAATTTCACTATTAAATGAAGTCTTTCCGACTAAAAGATATTCACAACTCAATTCTCGCAAACTTGCGAATACTTAACAAGAAATATTTACAACTAAATTCTCGCCAACTTGCAATACAAAAATCCTTTTGTTTAAAAGATAATTATAACTAAGTTCTCGCAACATGCGAATTGAATTTTTTTCTTTAAGAGCATTTAGCAACTGTAAACCATATGACATAAATTGAACTTTCAATGTAAAATAGGTAAACAAAGAAACGGGGAAAGTGCATAATCGCCCACTGCTTGGCGCGTTTTTAAGAATTGCACATACTCGGTATCCATGTACAGAACGACCTGTTTTCACTTAAAAAAATCCCACAATTGCACAAAAATGGCATTGCGCACTTCCTTCACTTTATCAATGTACACATTGACTTATTTTCACTTAAAAAGTAAAAAAAAAAAATGTTGACAAAAATCCAATTCTTCTTACTCTTGTAGAAAGCGCCAAACAAACGCCAATTAAATAAGTGGACTATTCTGTACTTTAGCCCAAAGGAAATTTCACTTATCTTTTTCTTTTTTTGAATTCTTCCATTCTCATAAGACAGAACTGGTTGAATCTGCTTGGCCGGTGATTTCTCCGCTCTCTCGGCTTGCTTTTTTTTTTTTTTTTTTTCCCCTGTTGGGGGATTTTTAGCTCGGCGTCTGATTTGGTGATATTGGTGATATTCTTTGCTTACTTCCAGGACCCTGCAATAAATCTTGTAAAACTTGGAAATAAGTACGAGTACAGTACAGTTTTAGCTGATCATTATTAGCAATCACTTACTGCCCCCTTACCGCCTTTAAATAAATCTTTTCGATAATATAAGGCTCTTCAAACCTGGGCTCAAACTTCGTTACCCTGTTTTCGGGTGCGTTTTATAGTTAAAACATTTTGACCGACCGTATATTTTACATCCCGTCTATTTAGTACATTTTTTGTTTCTGCCTTGCTACGTTGGAAATTTTAATCGCTTCATTAATAACTGATTTAAATCCTTCAATTTAAATTCCTCTTGTCTTTGCTGTACAAAGAACAGTTTGTCCAAAGGCGTGAAAATCTTTCTTCCTAAAAAATAGTTCTGCGGGGGTTTTTGTGTAGTATCATGCTTTGCTGTTCTCAAGACAAAACCTAATTCATTGACACCCAGCGGTCCTGATAGTGATAATTCTTAACGTATCCCCTGATAATTTTTACAATATTTTTATTTACGCGTTCCGCAATATTCGATTACGGTCTATATGGTACCATTTTTAGATGGCGTATGCCAAGTCCTTTGCAAATATTTTTAAACAAACTGCTAAAAACTGTCTGCCGTTTTCTAATATTACTTTTACTGTGCCCCCGTATTTTAAAATATACTTATTTAGAAACGAATCGGCGACTACTTTTGCTGATGCTCGTTTAAAGAGGACTACTTCCACCCATTTAAAAAAATTATCTACTATGGTTAGCAAATATCTGTTTTTATTTATTTTTGTTCTAGGGTAAGACCTGAGCAAATCATTGCCAACTATCTCGTTTGAAAAAGTGGTTTTTGTACCCGGACGGGCTGTAATTAACATCATTTATTAATTGGCACAAGTAACACAACCTGACATACGCCGTAACCATCCTCTGCAACTGCGGAAAATAAGCGCTTCGCTGACCCTATGTAAGGTTTTTCTGATTCCTAGATGTCCTGAAATCACAAATTTCCCCTAAAATATTTAAACGTAGTTTCTGCGAGATCACTGGTCGTTATCTTAATTGTCATTGGTTCTTTTTGTGTAAAACAGTAATTTATCAATTATTTCTTAGCGAGCCTCTCTATTGCGAATAGCTGTTAAGTACACATGTTTAAAATGTTCGGCGTCTTCAAGATATGAGTAAATATCCTTGAATTTAGGACAAAGAATATGTATTGTTAAGAA